TTATGTCCACATTTCACTTACCGCAATGGGAGGATCTACACCATGTGCTGATGGAGGGATTTCCTTCATGTGCTGATGGCTTGCTGGGGATTAATGGGGATACGGTTATATACTGGTGCCTTCCTTTTGGAAAACAACTTGATGCTGTGTATTAAAAGTCTTCAAAAAGTTTGTACTCCTTGACCCGGTAATTCCATTTCTAAAAATCAATCCAAAGGAGATAATTAAAAGAGAGGCTCAAGATTTATGAACAACAATAGGCATTACAGCGTTATCCGTAATAGTGAAAAAGCAAAAAAGGTGCATATATACACACAAATACATCTATTCAATAGAGTATCTGCAAATGTTACAAATAATGTTCATGAAAGATTTTAATAAGGAAAAATGATCATTATTAAAAGGGTTTAAGATGTCGCATATGTTGTGATCTTACACAAATGTACACATACATGAAAAGAATTAGAAGCACATCAAAATATTGTTTTGTTTTCTGCAGGTAGGATGGTCATGTTTACTTTCCTTTTCATATCTTTATGTATTTTCCACACTGTGCTGAATGTATAAGGGGTTTTTGTTTGTTTGTTTTGTTTTTTTGATCAGTGAGTATTTGTAGTAACATATACACTGTCACATATGTGGAAGAAAACCTTGAATGGCTTATTTAAGATAATAGGCATTATATTAACACCAACACTGAGTGCTTTTAAAAAAAACAGTTCTGAAAAAATAAGATTACGTACCCCATTTGAATCAAATGTATGATATGTCAAGATCATTGTAATGTTTTGAGCAACTAATAAAAAAATGAAAAAAAAGTTCTATTGACAGTATGATTTCAGTCAGACTTCTACTCTATCTAATATGATTTAAGTCATAATTGTGTCTTAAAATTTTCACATGAAAACATTTAAATGCCTGAATGCTAGGACAGAGGTCAAACAACTTTCAGTAGGTGTTGTAAAAGTGGAGTTGCCTGGTGGACTCTTCCCAGAGGCCTTTTCTCTACTGGTCACAATTTCTCTATCAGAAAAGAGAGTAAGAGAAGGTGGGATAGCAACTGGGCTAAGGAAAGGAGGGCTGATTTGTCCTCAAGGTCAATTTTTATGGTGAGAGAGATGATATATATATGTTAAGGCCACTGACCTGTATGTAAGATGGCAGGAGTTTTGTTTATTTGTGGTAGACTTTGTCAAAAATGTTCATTTGCCAGAGAGTTCAGGGAACATTATATGTATATGTATTTTTGGTTTTCTTAATAACTTACTAGTCACATAGCTCATTAAGCATTTCCTCCTTTGAAAAAGATAGTACTCTAGAAAATGAGATGGCATTGAGTGATTTTTCAATAATGCTAATGGATCTACTCTGTTTTGTACTTTTATCACCTGTGTAATTAGTGATGTTTATTGGTGGTGTATCTGAGATTCTGTTGGTAGCTATTAAATATAATTTCAAGCTACCTGACCTGTGTAACAACAGAATCCAACTTTTTGTTCTCTTGTTACAGTTCTAACAAACTGAGCAAGCTTGCTATGGATAAATAAAGCCAAGTCAGCAAATATTTAATAAACATCTTTTGTTTTATTTCCAACTTCCCAAAGCAATTGAGAACATATTAAGAGTAACCCAGTAGAGAGAGAGACTTAATAAAGGAGATTCCTGTGTGATCATATTTAGGTAGCAGTAATGAACTGTGGAACTTCAAAGGACAGCTATGAAATAGGTCATGTGCCAGGATTAAGGTTGACTCTGAAATTTGTTTCACTGCCTTTTAGTAAATAAATAGTTGAAGAAAGATTTGGCAAAAGAAAGAATTAACCCTCCTGTCCACATTCTTCCAGGAGAGTGTCTCCTGTTAACAAGTTATTTGAATGTTTACTTTGCCTTGACTGCCTACCAGTGGCATGTCAGTTCTTCCCTTGAACCAAGTGAGAGTTCAAATAAACCAGAAAGTTTTCACACAGCTGGACCCTTCTGCCGATGAGTGGTGTTGATATGTCCTTTTCCACTTTTTAAAAGTGGTCAACATGAAAGCAATTGAAAGGCAGTCCATGACCTCCTATCAGTGGCCTAGATAAACTTGAGTTTGCAGCTTTTAGATTTTGAAATACCTGGCATAGAGAAGCTTAACAGATTCTGGGAGGTACTGTTTCACTTACTAAAAGCCTGAGGTGCCTTGCTTTGCATTATTACTCAGAATTATCCATGGTTAAGATGAAAACCTTTGCATAAGTGAATATGCATGTAAAAATCTCATTTCTAAAATGTCATCAATGTGGCATAGCCATTGCATTTTGTTGTTTTCCATAGTCATAGGTTCTGTGTCCATCTCTGGCCAAGCAGTAGCATGGAATTGAATTTGCAGACACAATAATCTAGTCTAGCATAGTGCCTGGCATATACATAGTAGGTATTTAATGTACTTTTGCTGATTTGGTTCAAAATTTATATAGATAAATAAATGAATATAGAAATAAAAAATATAGCTAAGTATGCTAAATCCAGATGAGATGATAGTTTTCATTATATACTACTCTTTAAAGTTCATGTGGGAATTACATTATGTTAAGGTATTCCCTCCATTTTAAGAAACATTTTATTTATGGGGTGCTTACTTTATTCTAGGCATTAGAATTTTACATATTGAATATGATGTCAAATTCTTGCCTTCAAAAAAGGAGAAAGAATTAGCCATATTTGGAGGATGCATGGACATTGTTAATTTAACTAATTTTATCTATTCTCTTCTTGTCCATTTTTTCCCACTAACACATAAGGTATAAATTTTGTTGGTATTAATTATTTTTATTTATGAGGTAAAAATGGTTCTATCTATCCTCAGCTCCTGAGATAGTGCGTGACATACAGTAAATATTCTGTAAACATTTGTTGCATAGATAAATGATTTTGATACATGTTGCCCAATTGCCTCCAGAAAGAACTTACAGATTTTATTGCCACAAACAGTATATGATAGCTATTTGTCCCCATATTCTAGCCAGTGTGGGGCTTGTTGAAACTTTTTAAAGTTTTGCTAAATGTGCTATACTATTTCTGTATTCAAAAACCTTCCCCTGATTGCTTTCCATTGCTAGCCTTTCTCCCTGTTTTTCTGCCATCTGGCATACAAAGCCCTTGTAGAGCTGTCCCTGCCTGCTCTATACATTTCCTCTCTTCCCATTCTGTCCAGACCCCACCCTCAGACTTCGGTCTGTGCAAAACTGCTCTTGATGATATCACCTGTGATGCTCATCATGCCTTTCCCCTGGAATCTCACCTTGTTTTGGTTCTCATATATGTTTGAGATAGATGACCACTCTCTTATAGAAATGTTGTAATTTTTCTCCCTGAACACAACGTTCTCCTGGATTTCTTCCCATTTTATTGACAATATCTGTTCCGTCTCTATTACTTCTTCCTTCTCTATGCAGTCTCTAAAGGTTGGAGTATCCCGAGACTCTTACATGGTATCTCCTTTATCCTCTAATCATGTTTTCTTTAGAGCTCATCTTCCACAACTTCCGTACATCTAAAATCTGCATTTTCAGATCTGATTTTCCCCCACAACTCCGTGCTCATTGGTGTACCTGTTGATCTGACAGTGGTACTTTGACATCTAGTAGATATCTCAAACTTACCTTGGCCAAACAGGAATGCTGGCTCTCCTCCACTTCACTTTGTCTCCCACTCTCTAATCTTCCCTAGTTCAGTAAACAGGGCTACTATTATTCTCTCACACCTAATCTGAGAGTTGTCCTTGACACATCTCTTTATCTCACACTTCATATCCTTGCCTCAGCAAGTATTGTTGGTTCTGCCCTTTGGAACAACATTCTGAATTCACTTGCTTTTCACCACTGGCATAGTTGATGACTCTGGTCTAACCCTCAGTGCCCTTATCTGTCTCCTGTGGAATTTCAGGGTCTCTTGATTGCTCTTTCTCTTCATGCCTGTATACATTTCCTTGTATTCTCCACCAGCTGGCGATCTTTTTTTTTTTTTTTTTTTCTTTTGGTACTGGGGTTTGAACTAAGGGGCACTTGACCACTGAGCTACATATCAGCCCTATTTTGTATTTAATATAATTTAGAGACAGGGTCTCACTGAGTTGCTTAGCATCTCACTTTTACTGAGGCTGGTTTTGAATTCATGATCCTCCTGCCTCAGGTTCCTAAGTCTCTGGGATTACAGGCACACACCACTGTGCCAGGTTCCAACCAGCTGGTGATCTTTTTAAAACATAAATGAGATCATATCCCTTTGCTTCTTTCAGTTCTCTAAGGGCTTGCTAATACATTTACAATAAGTCCTCAAATCTTTATCAAGATCTTCAAGATTGGGTAGGATCTTGCCTGGCCCTCCTCTCTGCTTTCATCTCTTACTTCTTTCTTCCTGGCTCATTCTACTCTCAACACAGAGTGCCAAGTTAAGTCCCAACACAGGTCTGTATTTGGTATTCCCTCTGAAGAGTCCATGAGCCTGAGTCTCCATCTGAAAAAGGGAAGAAAACCAGTAGGAACTATGTCATAGAGTTCTTGTGAAGATTAAATTAGTGCATTAGAAGCACTGAAATGGGATTGGCGTATGGTAACTCAGTGTAAGTGTTAGCTATGGCTTTGTTATTTCTGTCACTATTTGGGGGAATGTAAAGGAGGAATACATGTTGTTTGTGTTGAGTTTAGATGCTTGTGAGATGTAAAAATGAAAAGCATGTGTAAAAATAGAAAATCTTATTCAGAATGACTAGTTCTCTGTAATAAAAGGTGTTCTAGTACCTTGGAAGAATGAGCAAAACTTAACTAATTTAGTATCTAGGGATATGTTTGTGAACTGGGAAGGCGTGGGTCATTAAGTGCCTGGGATTTGACATACTCACTACAGAACTTTTCACGTAGAAGGCAGTCATCATGCTCACAACTCTGGTTGTTCAGATGAAAGATTTCATTGATTTTTGTGGCTTAGATTTTTTTTTTTTTTCCTTTTTGAATGCTTTCTAGTGAGCCAAGGCCTGGGTGTTCTCCACAGACTTCCTGCCTACTTCTGGAATCAGACGCCATGCATCCAGATCTTGGACCCTTATGGACACTGCTGTATGTTATTCTTTTGATTCTGTGTTCTTCTGTGAGTTCAGGTAAGATAAGAATGGTGGGGTTTGAGCTGAAGTCTTTCCTCATTTTAATCCTATTAAAAAAATTTCAGCTTAAGTGTTTTGCCAATAATAGCAGTTTCTAAAGGTGTTCCTAAGATTTGCTTGACCAGCTATCTGACTTAAAAACTTGATTAATGAAGCAATTTGAGGATCTCCTAGTAGTGCTTTGGGCATTAGCAGGCCTTCCCATTTTTGTCCTTGCATTTGTTCCTTTTATTGTTTTAAATATATTTTCTAGCCCAGTGTGGTGGCACACATCTGTAATTCCATTGGCTTTGGAGGCTGAGGAAGGAGGATCACAAGTTTGAGGACAGGTTCAGCAACTTAGTGAGGCCCCATGCAACTTAGTGAAACTCTGTCCAAAATAAAGAATAAAACGGGCTAGGGATAAGGTTCAGTGATTGAGCGACCCTGAGTTCAATCCCCAGTACCCACCCCTCAAATATTTTCTATTATGATTTTCTCAGTAAGGGGTTATGTTAAAAATTTCTGAATTTGGTAATGATGACAGGAATAAATACTGACTACCCACCACCAAAGAGAAGTTTTAGAATCAGTATGGTATATTGTTCAAATTGGAGTGAGAGAACCTGGTTCAAATCCCAGGTGTGCCACTCCCTCTAGGATCTCGCCTAGTTTATTGTTTACTTCTTTGAGTTACTGAAAAGCTTAAATGTGTTTATTGTTAAATGTATGCAAGCCCCAAGTCAGATACGTGGACTACACTCCTTTCTCTATTTTGGACATATATAAAGGTGAATAGTAAAAATGTACAAATATAGTGATGTCTACTCACTGAGTAATATTTATTATTTATTAAAATATTTATTTATTAAAATTGCTGTGTAACTATATTGGATGTACAAGTGAAAATTGATTTAGTGATTTCATTTCTGTTTATGTTTTGCTAAACAGCCACCCCAGCTTTAGCCAAGAGAGGCACTTCATTTAATTTTCATTTCTGATTAAATATTCTATAAAAGAAGAGCCAGCAATTGGTTGATTTTTTTTTCCCTTTTAAGTATTTTATTCTATTAGATACAATATTCATGCGTCTCTTCCTGTTTTGGGAGGAATGGAGGTAGGGAGGAGGATCTATATTGATATTTTAGTATAAAAACCACATCCCCACCCACGTTCCTTAAGGAATTAGTATGATAGATTAAGCTATTTCAAACACCAAGTAAAAATGTTAAGCCTTATATTCAAGAAAGAGTAAAATTTGTATTTCATTTGTGACTCCCCCAATTTTGTTTTCTTAAAAGTTAATACATAGGGGCTGGGGTGATGGCTCAGTAGTAGAGCACTTGCCTAGCACATGTAACGCGCTGGGTTCAAGCATCAGCAACACATAAAAATAAATTAATAAATAAAGGTATTGTGTTCAACTACAACTAAAAATTTTTTTTAAAAAAAGTTAAACAATATTTTATATTAAAATAATAAAGAAGTTAAGAAGTACCATGCCATTATTTGTGGAGTGACTTGCTCTGATAGGTCAAATGCTATTAGTAAAATTAGAGAGAACTCTATTAATTTTGAAAATCATCTTCACTTCTTCAGCTTTTTTACTTCCATTTCTTACAAGCCATTTTGTTAAGAGTGGTTTGCTATTTCTTATTAATGCAATTGGTGTTATATCTGATTTATACCATAAGCATTCTTGTCTGTTCTACCTAAATTGTGAAGTCCTAGGCTAACATTGCTCACTCTTTTTTTCTTCCAAAAGAAAGTTGTATGAGAATTTTGCTAGAACTTTTTTGCAAGCATCAAGAACCGCCACATATATAGATTAGAGGTTGCCTTAGTTATAGATTCATATGACATGTGTTAATGTGCTCTTCTTTCTCTCTGCTCTTCCCTCTCCTTCTTCCCCTTCCTGTTTACCCCTTTCCTCATGGGGAATATTCCCTCATAGACTTGGCACCTTATTTTATTTCTGAGCCTCTCTCTGAGGTCCAGAAGTTTGGTAGACCTGTGGTACTACGTTGTTCTGCTAAACCCGTGACTGCTCACATCTCATGGTTGCATAATGGAAAACATTTGGATAGAAACATGGAACAGATTAAGATTCACCAGGGGACATTGACAATCCTTTCTCTCAACCCCTCCCTTTCGGGTTACTACCAGTGCATTGCCAACAATAGCATCGGTGCAGTTCTAAGTGGCCCTGCAACAATATCCCCTGCAGGTGAGTTCAGTCTGGTTTATTATCTATGGGTTTTCTTGAAACTACTGTTAGTATTGGCATTTTTGAATAGCGGGAAGGACATGGGCTTTGGTGTGAGATATGTAGAAGTCTTATCCCAACTTTAACTTCACCACATGAATATCTTGGGGAAATGTACTTGGCCCTCTGTAGCCCAGCCTTGTATCTTCATCTGTAGCAATGGTATGGAAATGATTTTTTTTTTTTTTAAGTTACAGAGTTAGGAGAGTTTTCTAATGTGAATTCTGAACAATTTCTTTGTGATTCCTTAAATAATATCAATAATAACAAAGCTGTTGTCTTTTTTGATGCTGATTTATTTCATGCAGTCCTTTATCTTTTTTTGAATCTAATTGTTTTATTTGCCTTCATTACTGGGTGATTTTAATTACTTTAATTGAAACCAGGCTAAAGAAGCAGGAAAAAATAACTGACTGTAAAGAAAGGAATGTGGAGTATTGAACTTATGGAAAATCTGGAATGCGTGGTTTTTCTTAGTAAGTTTGAGCCATCTGCCTTTTAAATGGTGATGGCTTCCAGTAATGGAAAACGTCTTTGTAAGGGCACCCCTATTTACAGAACAAATCTGGATTCCCCAGGAGTAGTGAGTTTGTCATAACTGAGAAGAGTAAATGTTTTTATAGAGCTGTGACCCATGGACAGCTCCAAGACACACACTGGAGGGTTGGGTTTTAGTGGCAGGCTGCTGACTTCCCTATGCACTGAGATAATAAAGAACCTTTCCGGGCAGCCTCCGTCTGTAGAGAGCTTAAATTGAAAAGAATTGAGATCGAATTGGTATATTCAGATAACTGAGACAACATACTGCTTTGCTTTTTGATGTCCTGTGGTCATCCCCAGAGGCCATTTTATTGCACTGTGAGCATTTACAAACCGGGAAAGTGAGCTTTGCTGAGGGCCTGCATTGAAAAGGATTTATCTTTATAGAATGGGGATAATTATGCTTTATAGTTCTCCCTGGTTTTTTAGGAGCAGTTTGTTTTTCTTATAGTCCCCTAAAAGCAGCAACTTCTGCAAAAAGGGTGCCTTGAGTTAGCTGTCAGCCCTCAACCAGGCGCCTCTGCCCCAGCTGCTTTTTTAGATAAAAGCTCCCACTAACCTCACGACTGGGATTAGCCACCACGAGACACCATGTGGCTGATGTTTCTAAATTTTAGACTTCCTTTGGGAAAGAGAACTCAAGTTTGCATTCATTCATTCTTTTATTTACTTATTTATTTCAGTTCTTGGTGACTTTGATTCTTCAACAAAGCATGTTATTACAGCAGAAGAAAAAAGCACTGGTTTCGTTGGCTGCAGAGTACCAGAGAGTAATCCTAAAGCTGAAGTGCGCTATAAAATCCGGGGGAAATGGCTGAAACATTCCACAGGTGAGTCCTTTTATAAAAAGCTAATAGCACACAGAAAACTAATATTCCTTACATAACTGCATTCTGTGTGCTAGGGACTGTGATTGGGAAAATAGGTAAGATACATTGTACTCTGAGAAGTCAAATAGAGGAAATGAAGACATTAGTTCATTCCAGTCTCTACTCCAATTTTACTTCCTAGGAGAAGACCAGTCAGATGGTCCTCTCTAAAATAATGTGCCTTTTTACCCTTTATTCAGCTCCAATTTTCTTTATAGAATTATCACACCTGGTATGGGTTGTTTCGATATTTGTTTCCTTTTTATTTTGTACTCCTTTCTCTGCACCCATCACCCCCTACTGCAATGCTAGTTGCATGCAGGACCTTTGTGCTCTTTCTCTATTGCTGTGTCATGAGTGCCTTTGCTGAGTTTGGAAGAAAATAGTTAACTCAATATATATTTATTGAAAAAAGGGAAGGGCAGACAATGAATAAATACCATGTGGCCAGTACTTTTAAGGTAGAGGTTCATCAGGGCTGTGATCATGGTGTCTTTGCCTAAATATGCTTCTTGTGCTTTCAGATTCACCATCTGTTAAAATGTTTCTGATAGATTAAATTTTGTTATGCCAGTACTGTCAACTCTTTATTTTTGGCCTTGACTTTCCTTTTCTTTCATTTAATGAATTTTCCTTGGTTGCTTATTTGCTGGTAGTCTTCTGTATAAATCTTAAACACAACTGCAAACCCTTATTAGTTTTAGTTGCGCTGTGGTGGTCTTCGGAAAGTGAAGACTAACTGCATTCCTTTCCTTCTTCAGGGAATTACATAATTCTTCCATCAGGAAATCTTCAAATTTTGAATGTATCCTCAGAGGACAAGGGATCATACAAATGTGCAGTTTATAATCCTGTCACCCATGAATTAAAAGTCGAACCCATTGGCCAAAAGCTCCTTGTGAGTCGTAAGTATTTGGGAGAGCAGTGGCTACTAGCAAAGAAAGAGTCCTCAAAAGTATTGCTCAAAAAAAGTTGGGAAAGGAGAGCTCATTTTCAGGTCTCTCTCTCTCTCTCTCTCTCTCTCTCTCTTTTTAATATTTATTTTTTAGTTGTAGTTGGACGCCTACCTTTATTTTATAAAATAAAGTGGTGCTGAGGATCGAACCCAGGGCCTCGCACATGGTAGGCGAATGCTCTACTGCTGAGCCACAACCCAAGCCCCAGGTCTCTTTCGTTTTATCATAAAAAGTCTTATTCCCCCCCCCCAAAAAAAAAAAGTAAATGCAATAATGTGTAACAGAATCAAACCATACATATTTTTAAAAAATACAGCAACTTTTTAGAGGGGAGTTATGATCAGTGTGACAGAGTGAATTTGTGTGGAGAATTTTGCCCTTTGCTCAAACAAAAACAACTAAAAGCAGGAATATTACTTGATAGCAGTGGTCATCACATTGGTGGCTGAATGGGCGGCATGAAGAAAAGATCTTTCTACTCAATTTTTAAAAATTATGATTAAAATCATAGATTGTGGCTGTTGAGTTGAGGTACCATCAGTAGTCTGAGCATCATAAAAGAGTGGTTTCTGGACTTGTTGAGAATTCTACCTTTCCAGAGTTGTATAATTGAGAAGTAGCCCTCAAGGACCACAAAAATCTTTTCATTTTAATCCTCAGCTAAAAATGATTTCACTACTAATTAGAATGTTGTTGTATAAAGAAAACTAAGTAGCAGTGTGAGGATGCTCACAGCTTTCCTAGGGAAGAGATTGGAAGTGAATCCTTACTAATAATATTTTGTGTTCCCTTCCTTTTCTAGGCCCTGCCTTGGATGGGTTTCACATTCTTCACCCTACCCTTCCACAGGCATTGGCTGTCCTTTCTCATAGCTCTGTAACCCTGGAGTGTGTGGTGAGTGGGGTCCCAGCCTCACAAGTGTATTGGCTGAAGGATGGGCAGGATGCTGTGCCGGGAAGCAACTGGAGAAGGTTACATTCACATCTTGCCACTGCTAGCATTGATCCAGCAGACTCTGGAAACTATTCCTGTGTGGTGGGCAACAAATCTGGCGACGTAAAACATGTCACTTATGTGGTTAATGTACTCGGTAAGATGTCACTCAATTTTTCCCCCCAAATCAGGACATTATCCTTGTCTATCTGATGTTTGCAGGACATATGTGAACTAAACTAAAACAGTGAATATCTAGAAATATTCACACCAGTAGCCAGAACAAGGCTTCATTTTTTTCCAAAAGGACTGCTAAATTAGGCTGTATTTCTGGGTGGCATAGAACATTTCACATGGATTGCTCTTGGGAACCTAACCCCCAGCCCAGAGCATCCTTCTCTGTGACCTGGAGAAAAGAAAACTGGAATCTGATGGAATGGAAAATTCTTTTTTTTTAATATATATATATTTTTTATTGGTTGTTCAAAACATTACAAAGCTCTTGACATATCATATTTCATACATTAGATTCAAGTGGGTTATGAACTCCCATTTTTACCCCAAATACAGATTGCAGAATCATGTGTATCTCTGTGTGGCATCTTGTAGTAGCAACTAAGAGTACTGACTAGAAAATGGCATCTCAAAAAGAAATCAACCTATTTTATTATTATTTTTTTCCCTTTTGGCATGCTTTTACCTATGTCGAGCTCAAAAAATTTGCATTATTTCTACATATATACTTTATCTCAAAGCTGTTTCTTTTCTACTAGCCACTTACCTTAGTGTCATGTGTAATAGTAGAATGTTTTCCATTTTCAAAACAGATTTACATGAAAGCCAGAAATAAAATTAATTTCATAGTAAATATAGTTTTTGTAAATTTTTTCCAAGTGATTTACTTAGCACTCATGGCCTAATGTAGGTTTACAACACTGGGATTTAGGAAGTGTTTGGCAAGTGGCTGCATGATGCAGTGATTGGGCTGGGGTGTAGCTCAGTGGTAGAGCACTGGCTTACCATATGTGAGGCACTGGGTTTCATCTCCAGCACCTATCTGCACCCCCCACATGGGTGTGCACATGGACATGCGGTGATAATCGGGAGTAGGTTAATATGCATAATTACTTATTTAAGGCATATGCTGCAAATATTGATAAATCGTTTACTTTTCTAAATACAAAGTGACTTTATGGCTCTTAAAGGAAGTTTCTTTCTTATTTACTTATTTATTCTTCTCTGTTATACACCTAACCTCGAAATAGACTTGACCATAAAAAGAATTTAAAGTGAATAATAGATTTTTCTTTTCTGGCTCTTGTTTAGTGTGAAATACAGGGAAACAATTACTTTCCTTTAACCTAGTCACCTGAAATAAATGCTAAAAGAAGCCTAGGATTAGAAACTATGTGTGTATTGGAAAAGTTAAGTGGGTGAATCTATCTAAAAAAGGAGACAATATCTTATTAGTAATATATGGTTTATTCTATTAGTGGAAAGTTAAAATATATTTCTAACTTTTTTATTGATGACCACAGCAGATGGAAGAATGTGAATAAAGAATACAACAGAATAGATTCAAAGAAAGCAGAAGAAAGGAGATAAAAAATACATCTTGAGGGGTAGAGTTTAATTTGCATGTTTTATTTTCAGAACATGCTTCAATTTCTAAGGGACTGGAAGATCAGAAAGTATCTCTGGGTGCCACAGTACTTTTCACTTGTGATGTTCGTGGGAACCCAGCACCTAACCTTACCTGGTTTCATAATGCACAGCCTATTCGTCCTTCCCCACGACATTTAACTGCAGGAAATGGACTGAAAATTACTGGGGTTACAATGGAAGACTCTGGACTGTATCAGTGTGTGGCAGATAATGGGATTGGATTTATGCAGTCCACTGGAAGACTTCAAGTTGAAAAAGGTAAACTTTTAGATCATGTGATTATATAAAACTTCACAATAAGCTTTTGCAGCAATTAAAAACAAAGCCCTTTTTAACTGAAAGAAATAATGCTACACTATATGAGAACTATGTTAATTTTCCATATTTATTTCTAGTGGAAGATAGACATGTTCGTGAAGAAACAACCTTATTTCATCATGCTCATTAGAAAATTGTTTTTAGACTAGGATGTAGCTTGGTGGTAGAATGCCTAGCATGCATGAGGTCCTTGTCTTCATTCCCACTACCAGAGGGAAAAAAAAGAATTAGGAAAAAATTATTTTTAAAAAATATGTTCTCAAGATACATAATTTAAAAAGATATAAAGTAAATTATGTCTCTCATTTCTATTCTGCAGCCTCTTTAGAACTAACTGATTTTATCAGTTTCTTGACTTTGTGCATATACAAACCGTTACACGCGCATACAAAAGTGTGTGTAACACTCTCTGTTTCCTACATAAGGTGCATTCTTTAAATTTTTTACTTAATATGTATTTTGGTTATTGTCTACATGGTACATAACAGAGTATTTTCATTCCTTTTAAAAACTATGGCTCTTTAGTATTCTATTATGTAGTTGTAACAATTTGACTAGTACCTTATGGATGTCTGCTTCTAATCTTTTATCATTATAGTTGTTATATAATGAAGGTCCTTCTGTAAAGATTATTTTCCACACATGTGAGTATCTATAAAAGAAATTCCCAGAAATGAACTTACTAATAGCTATTACTGAATTGCTTTCCATAATTGTTATGAAGTTATATACCTTATAGTCTATATTTCTTTTATTATGGATGAAAAGAGGTCTCTTTTTACATGTTTGTGAGACCTTTGGATTTATTTCTCTGTATATTGATTCTTCATTGTCGTCTGCCCATTTATAGAATTTAGGTTTTTAGTCTTACGTTTTTGATTTGTAAGAGTCCTTTGTATATTAGGAAAATTAACTATTCATGAGTTATAAGCATTTCAGATTTCAGAGAATGACTATGACACAGTGAATATTTTTACCTTATGTAATTAATTTAAAAGTTAATAATAGAAAGGTAAGTTTTTAAAAAACTTGCCGTGTATTTGGAAATTTAAAATTATACTTCCAATAGGTGGACCACAAAAGAAATTGTAGTGGAAATTTAAAATACTTCAGACTGAATGATAATAACAATGCCATAGATAAGTTTTGGGGGGGGGTACCCAAAATAAAATTTAGAGAGATATAGCCTTTATATGCTTATAGAAGAAGACTAGTAAGGCTGAAAATTAGTAAGTGAAGTGAAAAAAGCAACAGAATAGATTCAAAGAAAGCAGAAGAAAGGAGATAATATAGATAAGGGCAGATCTGAATCAATTAAATAATAAAGATAAAGAAGATCAATAAACAATAAGTTAGTTCTTTCTAAAATCTAATAAAATAGACAAACCTTTGGCAAAATTGATTAAGAGTAAAGAAAGTAGGTAAAAATAAACAATGAGAATAAAAATGGAGCTCCAAGTACAAGGCTTATGGAGATCAAAAATAATAAGATGGCTAGGATAAACTTTATAACAGTAATTTGCAAATATAAATAGAAGTGGACAGTGTTAGTTTTGTATCATGTGACAAAACACCTGAGACAATGAGTTTAAAAAGAGAAAAGCTTTAGTTTTGGCTCATGGTGTCAGAGGTATCTGTCCTTGATCCCTTGGCCCTGTTGCTTTGGTCCTGTGGTGCAGAGTACATCGTGGCAGGAGGTCATCGTGGAAGGGGCCTGTTTATCTCATGGAGACTGGGAACAGAAAGACAGGAGGGGACAGGGGTCTTAATATCCTCAAGGTAATGCCCTCAGTGACCTAAATTTCTTTAGGCGTTACCTCTTAAAGGTTCTGCTACTTCTTAGGATACCATAGGCTGGCAGCCAAGTCTTTAGTATGTGGGTGGGCTTTGGGGGAATTCAAAATCCAAACTATAGCATGAACAAATTCTGAGGAAAAAATATGACTTAGCAAGACTGACTTAAGTAAATAAAAAGCCTGACTAGTCCTACAGCTATGAAAGAAATTGAATTAGGAGTTGAAAATCTTCCCACAGAGAACATACCAGACCAGATGGTTTTATGGAGGTTCTACCAAGCTTGCAAGTTACAGATCATTCCAACTCTTACACAACTCTTCCAGAAAAGAGGAAGAGATGGAACTTTCCAATTAGTGTAATCCTGATTCCAGATTCACAAAAGGATGGTACAAAAAAGCAAAATCAAAGGCCAGTCTTTTTATGAACGTGATATAAAAATACTAAGTGAAAAATGAGCAAACCAGCAATATGTAAGAAAGAAAATACCTCTTGATCAAGCAATTATCCCAGAAATCCATCAGAAAATTTAAAGTGTCTTTCACCCACTTATCTAATAAAGGAGATACAAAATATGATTATCCACTAGAAGTACAAAAACACTGGACATAATTCAATATCCATGTTAGACATTCAGAAAAATAGAAATGGAAAGGAATTTTCTTAGTTTGCTAAGACTAACAAAAACTTACACAAAACATCATTTTTAATGGTGAAATATAAGAAACACGTTTTTTCTTCCTTTCTTTCTTCCCTTCCTTCCCTCCCTCCCTCCCTTTTTTCCTCCCTCCCTCTCCCCCTCCCTCCCCCCCAGGGCCTTGAGCATGCTAGGTGTCATGGTTTATATACGAGGTGGCCTCCCAAAAGCTCATGTGTGAGAAAATGCAAGAAGATTCAGACGTGAAATGACTAAATGATGAGCGTTATTGATAGTTGTAACCCCAGTGAATTAATCTACTTATAGAGATTAACAGGGCAGTAATTGAAGGCAGGTAGGGTATGGCTGGAGGAGGTAGGTCACTTGGCCTTGCCTTTGGGATTTCTGTTTTGTCCCTGGTGAGTGGAACTCTCTCTCTCTGCTTCCTGGTAGTCATGTCCTGAGCTGCTTTCATCTACCACACTCATCAGCTATGATGTTCTGCTTTACCTTGGATCCAGAACAATGGAGCCAGTTGTCTGTAGACTGAGACCTTTGAGTGCCAAATAAACTTTTCCTCCTCTAAAATTGTCCTTGTCAGGTGTTTTGGTTATAGCAGTGAAAAAGCTGACTAAAACACTAGGCAAGTGCTCTGCATGGAGCATAGCCCAAAGCACTCCCTTTAAAATCTCTTCTAGTCACCGTAGATTCTGTCCAGCACAAAAAGGCAGAAGAGAAATAAGAACCCAAATAGTTACTAATTTATAAGCTGACAGGATTGCCATTATACAATATCCAAATAGTTTACTTGATATTATGATCATTACATATCTTATTAGAAATAATGGTATTTATCAAAGTGGTTGGATGAAGACCAATAAACAAGAATCAATTGCCTTTCTATATGCCAGCAACAAACAAAATCAGTTAAAAATTAAATATTTTAAGAAAATATTAGCTCCTTTAAAGCAGACAGTTATATAGGAAGATATACCAGTTAATAGATAGCAAAATTCAGTATTATAGGGTTGTCTTATCTTTCAAAAATTTTTTCTGAAGATAGTATTCCAATTAAAATTTAATCAAAGTAGTTTGATGACCTTAGAAACTGATTCCAAAATGAGAGAATATGTATAATCAATATTGATTTTAATAATACATTTTAAAAGAATAATTTAAAATCATATGACTACATTGAAATGAAAATATACTCATTATTAAAAGATACTATTGAAAGTGAAAAGAAACAGTAAACTAAGGGAAGATACTAGTAACCTATATAACTAAACAAAAGAATAGTGTATATTATACACAAAGAACTCTGATCCATTTTCCAAAGATAAATGACACCATAGAAAAATTAACAAAGGCATTTCACAGAGAAGGAAAAATAGGAATTGTATGTAAACACATGAAAAGATGATGTTCACCTTTGTTAGCACTCAGGGATTTGCAGGTCATGACTGGTGAAATAGCATTTTACACTCCCTCACTTTGCAAAAATTTGGAAATTGGACAAGAGCAAAGATATCTTTTGAGTTGATTAATATTCCATGGTAGGCTACTTAAAAATACTGCCCAGAATACCAGTACTAAAAGGAGAGACTTGCTGCCACTTTAATTTAGAAGTATCAATGTTGTTCGTATGGATGATAAGAAATTGTGTATAAATTTTATTTAAAATAGGATTTTTCCCTCCCAGGATTTTTATAATCAGATTATCCCAGAATTGACCATTTTCTTGAAAAGATAGTTTTATATCCTTTACATCTCTTTTTCACATTAAAGTCTAAAGTTTTGGCTTCACCTCTTGTATTTACCGTGGTCAAATATGTATAGTATCCCTATTGGAAAGCTCTCAATAGATTCCTTATATACAATCCTTTTCTGAAAGGTTAAGAAATATATGTAGGAATGTCTAGAGGCCCACAGTTATGAAAATGTTACTTTTTATTGACAGTTGCACTTGGTAAAAATTGAGACAGGAACCAACCGGAAGGGAAATATCTTTGTTTTAATCATTACTATTATTACATTTCTGTAAAAGGATGAAATTATTTTGCAGCATAGAGACTATAATGTTTCTAATTTTGGTATGTGAATTATTTTTTTTTACAGACAGTGGATTTAAGCCAGTTATAATTACTGCACCAGCAAGTGCCAGAGTGGTAGATGGAGACTTTGTGACTTTGTCCTGCAATGCCACTGGAGTGCCAGTTCCAGTCATTCGTTGGTATGGCTCCCACGGATTGATAACCAGCCATCCATCTCAAGTCCTTAGGTCTAAATCTCGAAAGTCACACTTATTAAGACCTGGAGCCCTTGACCCAGTGCCTGTCTACTTCATCATGTCCCGAGCTGGCTCAAGCTCGCTCTCTATTCAGGCTGTTAATCAGGAGCATGCTGGGAAATATATCTGCGAAGCTACAAATGATCATGGCACCACACAGTCAGAGGCATTTCTTACAGTTGGTGAGTTTCCATTAGTATTTTCCTCAGTTGCATAATCTCTTTTTATAGTAAGAGAAAAGGTGATTAGAAATATGTCATTGTAATAAATGCAGCCCCTGTAACAGTGAATGTAGAACTGTATTTTGGAGTATTTTTCCATCTGTGAATTAGATGAATGTCCTTCTCCATTTCTAGTGTTTTTGTTAAGTGCCTGCTTGTCAAATAGTATGGTTTTAGTTGGGAGCAAGCTCAAACTATAACTTGACTTTGGGATTAATGTTTTTAGCTTTCTGAGCTACTGATAATGCTATTGTTGACTTTTTTAAGACAAATCCTTGATAAGTGTAGTATTCAAAGTCTACAGGTTTGCCTTCATTGAGAATACAAACTTATGGTCCTATAAAATAATACCTGTATCTATGTATTTTCCCTATCTTACCCAAAATTACTTTTCTAATAGGATGAATCATAGTATTTATATGCTGCTGTTTTTTATGGTAATAACTTAATGTTACATGATTTTTGAAATATAGGCATGTAGAATGTCAATAGTACTGAAAATTAAGTCAAAGTTAATGAAATTCGAATTCAAACCTTATATCATTGGTTCTTTAACAACTGATTGATCAGTTTAAGAGATTGTTGCCATATTTATCTCTGAGAGTCAGAATATTCAGTTCTGCCTTTAGTGATGGTCAACTGAGGTCCCTGCCCTAGTCTTCTGCATTGAAGGGCTTCCTGTGTTACCTTTCTGTCTGGATCCTCAGAGCCCATGGAGTCAAAGTCAGTGCTTATCCTGATCCTAGAGTCCACATTCTTGTTTCTGGGTAACAGGTCTGGGGCTCCAGAATTTCTTACTTTAATGAATTCACAGTCTGGTTCCACACAGGTCTTTTTTGCCTGTCCTATCCTCCACAGTATAGACCACACCATCAGTGTATGGATGCCATTAAACCAGAGGTGGGGCCAGTGAGTGGTCTTTGGCAGAAGAGTGATGTTTGAAGTGTGCAGAGTTTGGATGTATGCACTCCAATTTATTTTCAGATGCAAATAAGGAGCTTCTAGCTCTGGATGAAATTGGAGATTGGGAGATAAGTGGGGAAGGCCAGTGACTTCTGTTTCTACCTTGGGCTACTCCAGAATGGTAGAGGTAGAAATGATGTGGAGTTGAGGCCTGTGGGCTGTTAGAGCCCTGGCTCTGACACACAGAGCTTTGTAATCCAGGGCCAGTTACTGAACTTTGTGCTTTTTGCCTCACCTGTGTAACAGGTGTTGTGAAGGTGTCCTGCTCACAGTAGGATTAGTGTGAGATTTCAAGTAGCTAATACATGTAAGCTTCTTAAAATTATGTCTGGTAACAGAAAGCTTTTCATGAACATCAGTTATTAGGTTATGATAACTATTAACTATTATTACAGGTTTCCATTGTGGTGGTATTTAACGAAAAGAAGAATTAGTTGTGATTTTAGTAACCTTAAGAACTCTCTCTCTCTCTCAAAAAAAAAAAGAACTCTTAGGAAGGTGCTTGGGTGTTGTATAAATTTATACATATATATGAATATGTATATGCATATATGTGTTCATGTTTATATATCTATTCCAGTTGGCAAAAGTAAAAGTGACTCTGCTTTTACTTTTAGCTTTGTGATAGGTATAATGCAGGAGCTGCTTGGGCAGAATTTAGCAAAACTGATTATTTTATGTAAATATATGAAATAAGGAGACATACATGTCATGGTTGATAGAACTAGATATTTTGTCCAACTTTCTCAAAAATCTGAAGCCCTTAGAAGTTATACAAATTGTTTAGATTAGAAGATCTTTAAGATTCTCCCCTGCTCCAGGATTTTGTGCTTTCCTAAACTATATATATATTGTTATAAAATGGATAACTATAATTTAATAATAACTAGATAGTAACAGTCTTAACCTAATACTTTGTATTTATGTAAAGCTTCTACTGCCAGACATGATTCTGAATAGTTAATGGCTATCACTTTTATGTATAATAATCCCATCAGTAGCATCCTACCTGTGTGTTCTTCTGTTATCTCTTTTACATGCTCTGTAATAATTATTGAGACCTAGCTGAGTTTATTGAACTTGAAGCAGTGACTTAGAACCCACTTTTTAAAAAATAGGAATCTGAGCCTTATTAAATCTAGTGTACTGAGTCATTTACTTTTATTGTGAAGGGAGAGTGAGATGGTCCAAGAAAAAGATGATGCTCTCCTTTCTATTTTTTTTTTTTTTATTTCCAGGGACCTTAGGTTTATGAGGTCTTCGATGTATATCTTCAAAACTAAAATGGGAGTTGCCCTGGGCTTCCTAAAGTAGTGTGGGGGTGGGGGTTGCTGGTATGCATAGTGACAGTGAGAATATCTTGGACAGATGTGGTTGTATTCCCTATTTAATTAGGAAATTCACTGACATTGCTATAGTTTTTATTCATCTTTTTTTCTAATTCAAAAACCAATCCATCTTAAAAATTATTAAGTGTCTATTCTACTCATTCGTGGAGTTGTTTGAAGATAAATTTAGATAATACATGTGAGAGCATGTATTGCCTGAACTCTGAAAGTACAGGCAATCTCCAATTTACAATGGTCTGAGGTTGCGCTAACATTGAGCTACACACCGCAGCCCTTTTAAAATTTTTTATATTTGAGACGAGGTCTTGCTAAGTTGTCTCAAACTTGAGATTCTCCTGCCTTAGCCTCCAAAGTCCCTGGTATTTCAGGGCATGTGCCACTGTGTCCAGCTGACTTACAGATTTTTTTTCATGATGTGAAAGTGATGTTCATTTAGTAAAAACTCATTTAGTAGAATTTTGCTCTTTTCCTGGGTTGTTAATCAGAAGTATGATAATGTCATGATGGTGGTCAGTGGCAGTGAGCTGCAGCTCACCATCAGCCATTCCATTACAAGGGTGAACAACTGACACTCTATAGAGTACTATGTTGCTTAGCCATTGTATTCAGTAAGTTAAGAGTAATAAATGCATTTCCAGTTTAACTGTATTTTCCATTTCCATGAGGTTTTTGGGTTATAACCTGACCATCAACCTAGGAGCAGCTATACTGTTAAGACCTTTAAAATCATATCTAATAACTTGTGAGTGCCCAAGTTATATAATTGGGAACAGCAGAGGTTAATTGGATTCCCTTTTAAATAAGTGTTTTGGAAAAGTTGCATTACACCCTGAATAACAGAAAAGAAATTTTGATATTCTTGCAGTAGACTGGCAGCAGCATATTTTTTTTAATCCCTCTGTATAAATAAAGTGTCATGTAGTGTGGGAACTGTCCTGTGGCCAGATACCACTTCCCAGTGGTCAGCTGCCCAGAGGATCCATGAAACTACTAATGATACAAAGATCCTTCCACATCACCCCAAGCCACAGCAAATTACCTCCAATTGGAGAGTCCATTTCTCTACATTAACAGGCACCAGATCAACCCTGAATGTCCATTGCATGTCTGACTCACTAGGTAAACACAGCCATGCCAGGAGCAATATTTTCAAGTTGTCTTAGTGAATTTAAATAGTATTCTTCTACCTTATTTTCTCACTGACTTCTTGTTTTCTTGATGAAGGATGCTCTGGAATGTCATTTTTTCTCTTTAAACTAACAGAGAACTGACCTTAAAGTTAATCTGGTTTTCTTTGGTTCTCTTCTAAAATGCAGTAGTTCTCCTAAAAACAACCCACCTCTTCCCAGGAATCTGACTTCAAGTGTAGCTAAAACATGTGTTTTCCTCGGTTCCCTTCCTCCGCACAGGAGTGAATAGCAGGAGACCTTTTTGTTGTCAGTATTAATAGCACTTGAGAGAAAGTAAGCTGTCAATCCTTTGGATTTATTATACTGGCAGATATTTGTATTCATAAACTGCTCTCCTTTTTTTTCACAGCAGCACCACTAACATTCTTCTGACAGCTGTTGTCACTTAGTCTCTCAGAACCTTAATTTCTTCATCTGTAAAGTAGCAGCAAGTATTACTCTTTACCTAAGACTGTTGTAGAATTAAACATCTGGAACGGTGCTTGGCATATAACAGGTGCTCAGTAATTTTTTGAACGTATGAACCTATTTTTTCAGTACAAATAAATTATTTTTACTTTCCTCCGTGTAATCTGTATGCTGTTAGTGTACATGGTGGGAGGGGACTATGAAAAAGTGGGAATTCTGGGATATATCTTTGGAGACGAGCTGCCCAGTAGGTAATGCTGTTTAGTACCAACTATTAAGGCTATCTGTTTGTTTTATCTATCTTCAGTTTGGTAGTTTCTTTCTTTTTTTTTTTTAGAGAGAGAATTTTTTAATATTTATTTTTTAGTTTTTGGTGGACACAACATCTTTATTTTTTATGTGGTACTGAGGATCTAACCCAGTGCCCCACACATGCTAGGTGAGCGTGCTACCGCTTGAGCCACATCCCCAGCCCCAAGTTTCTTTCTTTATTTTGGTGGGTGGGGTACTGGGTTTTGAACTCAGTGATGTTTCGCCACAGAGCTATATCCCCAGCCCTTTTCATTTTTAATTTTGAGACAAAAATCTAAATTCCTGAGGCTTTCCTTGAACTTGTGATCCTCCTGCCTCAGCCTCCCAGGTCAATGGGATTACAGGAATGTGCCACCATGTGCAACTAACAAGTCTGCATTTTCTCCAAATGTATGTTTTTGGTACTTTTGTCAAGGATCAGATGGCTGCATTTGTGTGGGTTGTCTGTATCTTCTATTCTTTTCCATTGGTCTATGTGTTTGTTTTTATGCCAGTACTATGTAATTTTTGCTACTATAGCTCTGTAGTATAATTTGATGTTATATATTGTGATAAATTTGTATATTGCTTTTGGTAATATGATTGTTTTAGCGATATTAATTTTGCCTATCCATGAACATGGGAAGTTTTCCATTTTCTAGTGTCTTCTTCAATTTCTTTCTTCTGTGTTCTATGATTTTAGGTCTTTTAACTTCTCGTTTTTTTTTTTTTTTTTTAATGCTAGTGTGAATAGGATTGTTTTCCTGATTTCTTTATCAGCTATTTCATTTTGGTTTATGGGAAAGTTATTGATTTTTGTATGTTGATTTTGCGTACTGCTACTTTGCTGAACATGTTTATTACCTCTAGCAGTCTTCTGATTGAGCTTTTCAGATCTTCCAAGTATAGGATCATATCATTTGCAAACAGTTGATAATTTGATTACTTTCTTTCTTATTTATATTTTTTACTTTCCTAATTGCTCTGGCAAGGCATTCAAGTACTATATTGAATAGGAGTGATTAGAGTAGACATCCTTGTCTTCTTCTATATTTTAGAAGAAATGTTTTCAGTTTTTCCTTGTTCAGTATGATGTTGGTTTTGGGTTTGTCACATTTAAGCTTTATGTTGAGATAAGTTCCTTCTATCTCTAGTTTCTTCACTGTTTTTTATCAGGAATGGGAACTGACTTGTTTCAAAAACTTTTTCTATGTTGGTCTTGTTAGTTCCATTTCTTCCCTCTTTCTTAAAGGTTGTTGTGTTGTGTAGGAGTCTATTGGATGGGGAATCTATTGCTCCATAACTGATACCCAAAGATTAGTGATTTAAAATCACAACCCCTTTGTTGTTGCTTGTGATTGTTAATTAGATGCAACTGGGCAGTTCTTCTGCTGGCCTTGCTGGGTTTATAATACAAGTTGTAATCAGAGGGCACCGGGGGCTGAAACAGCCAAAGTAGCTTTACTCACATGTAACACCTTTATGGAGGCGCATCTCTGTCTCTGTCCATGTAGCATACACACGGCTAGCTTGGACATGTAGCTAGATTCCCAAGAGCATAAATGAAAGTAGAAGTGTCAGACCTTCTTCAAAACTTGAACCTGGGTTCAGTGCGGGAGGGGACTGTGCATGAGGATGAATTCTGGAAAGTATCTTTGGAGACTTATTTAGCTACCTGGTAGGTAAAATCCTAAATCTTGATCCTTTCTTATTATCACTTTCACTTTTTTCCTGGTGGAATGTGTTGCCCATTGTGTTTCATTTACCAACTGGAGGTGAAACCTAATGTTCTTCAACTTAAAACTTTTGAGTTTAAACTAGCAAATTATTGTTGCAGAAGAGGGAATACTAGTACTGAGCAAAACAAAAATAACATCTTTAAGCCACTCAACTATTCCATCATGCAATTGTTTTTCCAAACAATTCATTTGCTCTCCCCTGAGCAAGTGATTTGCTACTAGAGATTAGATGTTGTCATGAGTGATACATTGACATGTTATCTATTTTAACTTCTAGGACTCTAATTGTGCTAATAATGTCAGTATCACTAACTGGATAGAAGATACTGACATAGTGACTTCATCAAGTTGTCTTGTCTCATTCTCTCTCTCTGTCTAGTTCCTTTTGAAACAAATACAAAAGCAGAAACAGTCACACCTTCTGATGCTACCCAGAATGATGAAAGAGACCAAAGAGATGGTTCAGACTCTGGCTTATTGAGCTCAATTCCAATGAAAATATATCCCAGTGGAGTGGAATCATTATCAGAGAAGAATGCCAGTGGCACCTCCGCCCCTGATGCCCCCATCATCCTGAGCCCCCCACAAACCCATACGCCAGACACATACAACCTGGTTTGGAGGGCAGGAAAAGATGGCGGACTGCCCATCAATGCCTATTTTGTGAAATATCGAAAGGTAACACCTACTCAGTTATCACTTTTATCTTCTCACAATATAACCTGTTTGTATACTGTGTTAGTATTATCTTTTACATTTGTGGAAGGGCAGGACACAGAACAACAGTGCTTCCAGAATGATGAATTTATCATAGATATCCCTCCAGTCATGCTGGATTAACCAGGTTTATGAAAGCACTAAGAATGACATCTAAATAATTTCCCCCCCTAATTGGGATTCTAAACACTCAATAACCACATAGCATTTTTTTTTTTTTATCTTGGGTGCCAGGCTCTATAAACCACTTTCAAAACCATAATTGCATTCCTTGCTAACAGTAGAATACAGTTTATTCAGCAAATAGAGCAGCTTCTTATTAGAAACAGCTGTTTAAATGAAATCTTCTGGCATAATCTCTGACTATCACTTGCATTTTGGGCTGACTTCTTAATTGTGTTAAAATCTTATATTGTTCTGTCATTTACTTTGGTGAATCTTGGGCCTGTCTCATTCATTCTTCAGATAATGTTTTTCCTTCATGGTCCTCCCTGGGCTTTTATTAAAGCAAAAGGAGTTTTCCTCTCTTTACTTAATAAAATAAACCAACAAAATGTGAGGAGAAATACTCATATTTAAAATCACTTTCTCTCTGTAAGACATTTTGGTATCTATTATTTAATTGTTTAGTTAATGATCATCTGTTATTTTTAATGACTGGAAAAACTAAGGTGATGACACTGAGAAGTTTATCCACGATTTCTATTGTAATGATGCTAGATGAGGAAAGTAAGTTTTGCTGGTAATATTATTCACCCTAAAGCCTCATGCAGTATTTGTTCTTGGTTTCATTAATCAAGAAATAACTGATTGGATCTCTTTTATCTCCTCCAACACATAGTGAACAATTTCAAAACATGAAGCAAGAATGCTAGAAATATATAATTCATATATATATATATATACAAACATTTAATATGCTATCTTTATCACATATTTATTCTATGTTTTATGTATTACCAATAATATTACATATGTATTTTTCCATTAATCCAGTAAGAAAGGTGGTATTGTCCCCATTACAGGTCAAAGGGAATGGACTCTGGGAGGGCCAATGGGGCTGGGAGTCTTCTTACAAGAGTTCTTCCTTCTTATATTTCTTAATGTAGAAAGTATTGTGTCTAATTTACTTATAGTACATCACCTCCTCAAACTTCTGTAGAATTAAATGAATTCTAGTTTTTATCAAGTTTTATCTAGTTTATCAAGTTTGATGAAAAGTTCCTGCCCTCTGTCTCCCATTGTTCTGGGATTTCTCTTGAGCAGCTGGACGATGGTGCTGGTATCGTGGGAAGCTGGCACACAGTTCGAGTCCCAGGAAGTGAAAATGAGCTGCATTTAACTGAACTGGAGCCATCTAGTCTTTATGAAGTTTTGATGGTGGCAAGAAGTGCTGCAGGTGAGGGTCAGCCAGCCATGCTCACCTTCCGAACCAGCAAAGGTGAGTATGAATTTCTATTGGAAGAATGAGCTGGCTCTCTTGATGTCAATTTATTAGTAAGAATCCTTCTATATAGTAGAGATTCTTGGATATAAATGCAAGATATAAATTCTTGGATATAAAGAAACTCATTGTAGCATCTCTTTTTTTCCTGCCACATTGGGGCAGTTGTGTTATACTAGTCCATCTAATATTCCATAGGTAAATTTTATATATATATCCCAAAAAGGGCCAGTGATACAGTTCAGTGGTAGAGTGCCCCTGGGTTCAGTCCCTAGTACCACCCCTACACACATAAATATATAAATATATGAGAATATATGTATATTTATATGTGTATGTGTGTGGTACTGAGGATTAAACCCAGGGTCACTCTACAACTGAACTGTATCAATGGCCCTTTTTATTTTTTATTTTTATACAGGGTCTTGCTAAGTTGCCCAGGCTGGCCTCTTGAACTTGCAACCTTCTTGCATCAGCTTCCCAAGCTGCTGGGATTACAGACATGTACCACTTGACCCAGCTCCACAAATATTTTTGAAAGCTTGTGATACGCAAGGCTTTAGGATAGGTGATGCAGGGAAGACAGAGATGGACATGACAAGAGCCATCTTAGTTGAGCTATGCTTTGATAGGGAAGGTAAGATACATACTTAAATATCAGCAAGACAGAATTTAATTCTGTTCAGATAATATTTACTGAGTACAAAAATAGGCAAAACTCCTTGCCCTCACAGAGCCCATATTTTAGTTGGGATAGCCTTATACTTAAGTTGTAAGTCTTTTTAGAAGGTAGTCTTAACAAGTGAAATGAATTAGGGGACAGATACGTAAAGTGTATAGGGAGGAGTGGTTACAATTTAAGGAGGTGGCCAAGGAAGTCCTCAACTAGTGATAAGTTGCAGAGCAACTTGAAAGAGAGAAAGTAGAAAGTCATGTGGGTATCAGGGGAGAGAACATTTTTAGCAGAGAAGAGCAGGTTCCAAGGCCCCAGGGTGGGGTATGATTATCATGACCCCTAGAAATATCAAGGGGCCACTGTGACATGAGCAAAGTAAGGAGGGGGTGGCTATTATGGAAAGGTGCTCAGGGAGATGACAGGGTAGTCAAATCACACAGTACTCTGTGTACTTTGCAAGGACTTTTTATTTTTCCTCTAGATGAGCTGGAGCTTTTGAGCAGAGCAGGGATGTGATGTGCTGACTGGTGATTCTCTGCTAACAGGGCATGAAGTGCAGGTGGACTGGAGGAAGGCAGGAATGTAGGCAAAGATACCCGAATATGGCAGGTGCTAGGAGATTTCTAAACAGGGTGTGAGAGTACATGGGAAGGTTCGTCCTGTGGAGCAGTTGGGAGGGAAGGCTTGATTGAAGATGCCATCATGGCTGGCCAGGAATCAGTGGGTGGAGATGGGAACTGAGTGGAAGAGTTTTTCAGTTTGTCACTGTAATAAAAGGGAGATCTAAGGATTGAGAAGAAATTATCTATTAGCTTTTGAGAAAGATTGTTCTGTCTAATTACTAAGTGTGGCCAGAAAATAATGAATACTTCTTAAATGCATCTTGTGTTAATTTTCACCATCAGTCCTTAGTTATAATGAGTCTAGCCTATAAATATGGAAGAATAAACATGTATTTCAGTTTTCTTAAAAAGTCACTTGATGTCTCTTTTTGCCTATTGAAATATTGAAACGTATTGTGACCTTTTTCCTGTGGAAAAAATTTATCAGGAGTTCTTTAAAATGAATTTTATTTTAAAATTAAGGAATATGTACAGTTTTAAAAAAAGGCTAATTGTTTAAAGCCTTCACTCTCCTCCTTTGACTTCTTCACAAGAAGACACTTTTAGCTTTCTTTTAAAGATATAAGAAAAAGACAAAGTAATATTTTATCAATTCCTAAGCTCAGTTAAGTATATATAATACAGGTGATAGATTTTGATGCTGTAGAAGATAAATTCATATCTATAGCTATGTGTCAGTTGAGTTTCACAGTACTCTTTTTTTTTTGTTTTAAAGTTGTTACCTAAATAAGCTTATGTTGCAGTGGTTTTCGTTTATTTTATTTTAAACCTTCCTAGAAAAAACAGCATCATCAAAAAACTCCCAGGCCTCTTCTCCACCCGTGGGCGTCCCTAAGCATCCTGTGGTTTCAGAGGCAGCAAACAACAATTTTGGAGTGGTGCTTACAGATTCCGCCAGGCATAGTGGAGGTAAAGAAAGGAGTCTTCATTTTATTTATTTGCTTATGTGTGTAACTGCCCCATTTCAGGCTTTTGGGAAATGGAAGAGAAATAGAGTGTATTGGTTATTCAAATTATATTTCCACATAGCTCTAATAGGTTCTATTTCAACCATTTTTAACATTCAGGCCTTAAACATTGGCAACCATTGTCATGATTGTTATTTTACCTAAGAAAACTCAGATTCAAAATATTGTGCTACCAAGTTTTTATAACTCATGAAAAGGGTTTTTTGTCTCTTCTTTAGCAAAAAAAAAAATGAAATTTACATTTTAAGTTCTGAAAATCTGAATTATTGTGTGTTTGTGACTTTTCAGAATGTATGGTGGTATAATGTTAAATTATTTTACTGAAAGATAACATGTCATATTCACTACTATTGCTGTATCTAATTAATCTTAGGATTTTTTAAGTTTTTGTGCAGTAAAATATTTAAAAAGACTTCTTTTTAAAATTTAAACTTCATATTTATCAGTGTGCTATGCCTCACCCCCAATATGCTGGGTATCAAACCCAGGGCCTTGTGTATGCTCAGCAAGCTCGTTGAGCACAATCCCAAACCCCCTAAGTGCTTTTTGTGTTTGTGCTAATGCTTTGGGACAGTTAGGGAAGATTTCACATTTCACTGCTGAGCTCTTAAAAGTTTGTGGATATCTCTCTCGTGTTTTTATACTTTTCCATGAATTTGTCTCAGACAAAATGAGGTCAAAACACTTTGACTCTGTCGTCAATATCATGAGCCTTGCTTTCCTCAGTTCTTCTACCTCAGAGAAGGCACATTTCCAATATCTTAAGTAGATTACTCATATGGGTATCACCTTTATGTGACTAAAGTTAACATTTGAAAATCAAAAACTTTATTTATTTAACAAACCCTGTGGAAGACACTTTGCTAAATGCTAGAACAGCAAAGAAAAAAAATAATCCTTGCTTTCAGGGAGTTTATGGTGGAAGATAGAGATACCTAAACCCACACTAAGGAGTGGATGAAATTAACAATGAAGCTCGTAACAACAGAGTAGGTAACATAGACAAGCCAGGAACAACAATTTTGATTTTTTCTGCTTGAAATTATATCTGTGGTCACAAAAGAAATACTCATCCTCCTCCGCTTACAGAGGAGGATGAATAGCAACAAGAGAAGCTCTTTAGCAACCTGAGCTAAGCCTCAGAGGACAAGAATGACACAGTGAGGTGAAGAAACAGGAAAAGAGGTTCTACGGAAAGACATCTCCTTGTGCAGAGATGGACAAATGACAGGCTTCATTTAGAGATAAGAGATCTTATTTACTGTGACTGGTTGCCTGAGGATGATGCAAGTGTCGGGGAGACAGGTAGGTGCCAGGTGCCTTGTATGACACCCTAGTTTATCTTTCTCTGGGAGCTAAAGAACTAAAGGATTTTAAAGATGGAAAGGGAGGAATGGCAAAAGGTAAGGTTGGAAAAATAAAGACGATGGTAACAGTATGAATGAAGAGGAGGTCAAGTGTGTGATTAGAGGAAGAAATCATCATTGAAGGAGGGAGAGAGATGGTGATTTGGGCTTGGGCAACTAGGGATCATTTACTAGTGTGGCTAATAGGAGATTATGGATTCAGTTCTAAAAGTCCTGAGTTTGGAGTTATCCAAGCAGAGAAAACCCTAAGAAATGACTTATTTGATCTTTGTAACAACTAATGAGGAAGGTAGCTTATCCATTTTATACATTAGGAGATGAGGCTCCGGGAGGTCTAGCAGCATGCCTGAGGTCATACAGACAGAGCTGCTATTCAAGTCCATATCTTCCAACTTGTTAAAAGTCACTTGCTGTTTCTTTTAGATATGAAAGATATCTTTCTCTATAGAGGTATTTTCCCCAGTAACTTTTTTTTCCCTATTTGATCCTTTGGTATTTGGTGAATTTGAACCGCATATGAATCAATGGGAAAAAAGTCATTTGGTGGTCTAGTATTTTTAAGAGATTCACTAACAGTTCTATTCATTCTGTTTTCATTGCTTTCTAATTAAAAGGAATACAGTAAGTATTAAAGTTGCCTGCTTTGAATATATTCCTCTTTTTATCCCTTAAACTATGTTTTTAAAATTCTGTGGTTTTCATATAAGTACTGTGTTCAACATTATTTCTTCTTTCTTATGTATTTGGAATGAGGATTGAGGAGGTGTTAGGATGGAAGTATTTTGTGACTTAGGCTAAAGAGGCAGGGCTCCCTTGGTGGATTTGCCGGAATCCAGTCATCATGGCCCAGAGTTGCCCCTCCACTTTCCAGCTTTAGAAACTTGGTTGTCATTATGCCAAAAGATCATTGGTCTCTTGAGAAACAGCTCACATTTACAAATTTCACAGTGAATATGACTAATGTAAACTAGAATGGCAATTTAATAGTTTGCAATGTAACTGTCATACAAGCCAGATCGTTTCTCTCAGCATCCTTCTCTCATGGGAACCAGGTGGGAAGCCAGTTACATGACCACCAAATTACCTGATCAGTGAGATAAGTTAGGTACATGATTTAATCCTGCAGTTTCTACCTGCCACAGGTAGAATTTGAGGACTTCCAATTTGAGGACTAGGGTATATTGAAAGCTACCCCAAATTAGTTCCCTGGCCCCATTTTTTTCATGTTCGGGGGGATCGTCTTTCTAATAGCACCTTTCTTTGGTTATATATCTTGTCTTCCTGCTTTCATCCTGAATAACATTCTCCCCAGCCACTATTATTAGTATTGATTTTATAATCAAATTTTATCTCTACTTGCTGCTTGCAGTCTGTATTTTGGAATAGCTCATAATCTTGAGGTATATTAAAATAGGATATAATAGTAATAGTTAATATAATACCCAGCAGGTTGCTGAATATGTTTATGTAATTTAGGTGGATAAAGAAAAAATATTTAAATAAGATAATTCATAATTGTGAGAATTATGAAAACTGTAACCAAAGACTTAAAGCACCGAATAATAATTTTTTTTACACATTGTCTTGGTCATGAATCTAAAATACCATAGTCAAAGTTATATTCATTAACTTAGTCTTTCACAGCTAATTATCAAGCCTACAGTACATTTTACTTTTCTTTTCTACATCTGATCATTTCATTTCCCATTCACTTTTAAATGGGAAATGGAACATAGCCACAATATTATGAACTCTGGCAAAAAAAGTTTAGTGAGGAACCTTTAATAACATGAGATTTGAGATTTATTCCTTTTAATTTATTTGAGTTATTCTTGTCTCTAACACTGTGGGTTATTGTGGAATGAATGTTTCCATTTTCAGTTCCAGAGGCTCCAGATCGGCCTACCATCTCTACTGCATCAGAGACCTCTGTGTATGTCACTTGGATTCCCCGGGCGAATGGTGGGTCTCCAATTACTGCCTTCAAGGTGGAATATAAGAGGATGAGGACTAGCGATTGGCTGGTGGCAGCTGAAGATATCCCTCCCTCCAAACTTTCTGTGGAAGTTCGTAGTTTAGAACCAGGTAGTAATATTCAAATGTTTTCTTTCTTTTTTAACCACCAGTGCTATTTAAACTTTATTTAAATAAAGATTTTTAATAATCTTGTGGGTTTCTTTTCTAATTGTTAAAATAATGAATGCTTGTTGTCTTTACTTCTGGGTTTTAGATTGTTGCTGTTTATTTGCCATTGGAAATAATGTTGTGATTCATCTTTCTATGTATGTGTTTTGCTATGATAGACTGTTATAGGAAGAAAATCTTGCTATTTCATTAAACTTGTTTGATTAGATGTTGAATCTCAGCACAGTTATACTCAGTATACTTATGAGACCATAAACACTTCTTCTATAAATTTTGTTTCATCAGAGGATTTCCTCCCTACCCCCCAAATCTTGAGATTATATTAAAGAGATTAAGCCATAAAAGAGATAAAAATTAAGGCAGTATTTGTTTGGATTCATGACAATTTTCACTTCTGGACTTTTAAATGTACACTAGTAGGAAATGCCTGTGTTTGTCTAACTGTGTTTTGTGAGGAATGTAGGAATCCATCAGCGTAGTCAGGAGAATGTAGCTTTTTAAATGTGGTTGTGAAGCTGAGTAACATTTCAGAGATTGAAAATATTATCTTCAGAAGCCCAGTGATTGTTTTTGAGTGATTAGGAAACTCGGTATTAGGATTTTGATTTATTCTTTAGGTTAAAATTTTTAAAAATTCATAACCCTTAGAATTTGTAGTATCTTCTTCCCCACAAATTCCTTCTGTGATCATTTAAATCTGCTCCTCCTTATTCTAGTACCTTTGAAACCAGAATGTCATCTGCTGTTACCCACATGGTGCCTGTTTATAAATGTTAAATTTTGGCTAAGTTGTTTCTTTCATAATGAAAAGAACCTGGTGTTGAGGATAAATACTTCAACTAATCCTGCCTCAGATGGGTGTGACTTTGAGTGGGAAGATGAAGAGTGAATGTCCCTTTTCCTGTTCTCTACCTGCTCCTTCTATGTCATTAATCTTCCACAGCTTTGGTTCTTGGCGACTCTATTCTAATAATGACTTGAAATCCTGAACCCAGGGTATAGAACAACCCCCTGCAGTTGATTGAAATTGGCAAGTGGGTTGAAATTTGTTTTCTGTGCCAGCATCAGAGTGTGTCATTGTAGTTAGGCACTTAAGCACAACTGCCATAGTTTGAATAGTCTGCCTTCAGATATGGCTTTTTATGGTTATGGGTTGTTTTTGTTTTCCCCCCAAAGGTTCAACGTACAAATTTAGGGTCATTGCCATCAACCATTATGGTGAGAGTTTTCGAAGTTCGGCTTCTCGTCCCTATCAGGTGGCTGGATTCCCCAAACGTTTTTCCAATCGACCGATAACTGGACCTCATATCGCCTACACAGAGGCTGTTAGTGACACACAGATCATGCTAAAGTGGACGGTACATAAACATCTTCTCTAATGAGAATATTTCCTGGTTTGTTTCTGTTAACAATTTAATATTCTCATGATGTGAGCAACAAATGGTTGAACCTTAAGTTGAGGGGAAATTGAAAGCCATCAATTTTTGTCTAAAGGCACATGGTCTAAGAGGGGTGTGGCTAAAAATAAAATTAATGTTTCCACATCTCTTATCCAAGTGTTGCTAACCTAATTGCCATGTTATGCCTTTGAACCTAGTGAAGTGCATACTGGTTTGGTTTTGTTTGGTCCAGCATTTGGCTTACTGCTCTTATTACCTTTGAAAACCTTTGAATTAAGTTTAAAATGGCCATTAAATATGCTTGAAAAATGAAGCTATATTACCATACTGGTAAAGAAATCTTAATAGGTATGACAGTTAACATTCTTTTTGTCTTTGATAATTCTTTACTACTTCTTCTTTTTTTTTTAGTACATTCCATCAAGTAACAATAACACTCCCATTCAAGGATTTTATATCTATTACCGACCAACAGATAGTGACAATGACAGTGACTATAAGAGGGACGTTGTAGAAGGTAAGTCCCACTGGCAAACTGGAGTGCCCATGAAGGAACTTTGAAGGTACAGGCCTTATAAACATGAAATGCATCATCACAAGTTAGGATAGAATAAAAAATGAAATTGAATATGTACTATTATTGTTGAATTTGTTTCAATTTTTCCAGTTTATTTATATAGTACAAAACATATTCATTGTAGAAACAGTTACAAAAGTTAGGGGGGAAATATGATTTTTCAGTAGTTCATCTGAAAAAGATTTTGATTTCTTTTTTTCTCTAAATGACCAACAATCTGTGTATAAATCAGTGGCAACTTCATCTACATTTAAAAAATAATGTCTCAAACAGTTTCTTTGTACCAGAAATATCACATCTTAAGCACATTATCTACTTTTGGAGATACTAAGAAATTGGAATGCATGTAGAGAAAAAAAAGAAAGCAGACACAATGGTGAAGGGTGTCAACACTGCTTTTGTAGTATTTAAGACAAAATTCAGAATTTCGCATTCAGTTCCTGCCTCCGCCTTCAGCCATGTCTCCTGCATCTCTCCCTTCCTCATTGGATATCCACCACACTTACCTTCTTTCTGCTTCCTCATGTGCACCAACATTTTTCTTGTCTCAGGACCTTGGCAGAAGGTAGTTCCTACCACCTCCTATACCACTGTCCCCATGCTTTACCAAGATATACCCACTTTTTTCTCTGGGGTGTTTAAATGTTACTCCCTCAGATAAATCTTCCCAAAAGTTCTGAAATTATTTGCTTAATGTTTGTCTTCCCTACCAAATATTAACCTCCCTGTGGACATGGGGCCCCTTCTCTCACTGCTCTGTGCCCAGTCTTTACAGTGGTGAGGTGCTCAGTATTGAATGAATGAAAGATTATAAATGGAATCTCAAAAGAACAGTGGACTATCTAGTGATGCTCAGAATGGAAAAAAGAAGACCGAGAGAAGCAACACAATAGCTGTCTTCATGTATTTACTGTTATGTGGAAGAGGAGCTAAGTCAGTTGGGGGATGGGAGGTTATAAGGAAATAATGTAAGAACTTTCTAACATAACATGTCTAATGTAGATTTCCTCCCTAGCTTCGGAAGTATAGAAGCTGGATACCTCTCTCTTTCTTCCTTCTTTCCCTCCCTTCCTTCCTTCTTTCTTTCTCTCTGTGTGTTTTTATGTGGTGCTGGGTATTGAATCCAGGGCCTTGCACATATTACCAAGTATTCTACTATTGAGCTGCACCCCAGCCTAAAGGTGCCTAATTCTTAGTAATATCTTGGATAGGTTTCTTGCTCTGAGAGGAGGTCTTTTTTCACTCCCAGATTCTGATTCTTTGAGATATTAAATTTCTTGGCTGAGAGTGTAGCTCAGAGGTACAGTGTGTGCAAAGTCTTGGGTTCGATACTCAGCATCAAAAAAAGAAAAGAAAAGAAAAAGAAATATTAAGTGTTTTAATGAATCATGTCAGAAAATTGTCCTAGGCCAAGGTTATTTTCCATGACTTGTTGACATCAAATGTCAACATATAGTTTTTGTTACAACAGATTTCTTTTTTTAAAAAAAACTTTTTGTTCTTTTTAATTATACATGACAGTAGAGTGTATTTTGGCATATCATACATACATAGAGTATAACTTCCCATTTTAATGGTTTACATGATTTACACTGGTCATGTATTCGCATATGAATATTGGAAATATAACAAATTCCTTTAAATATGCTGTATTATATTTCTCTATGGTCTCATTCTTTTTAATATCTATCCAATGGAATTTTGTCATATAATGAAAAATTTGTGATCTGAGCTCTTATACTTGGCATATAGTAGGTGGATGTTGAATCATTTTTAAATGAAGGAATGATTGTTTCCCTTCTGCCATAATTTGTAGTGGCAAAGCTGTTCTGTGCCTTTCGAAGTTAAGACTGTAAAGGTCTTGAGGGAGAGAAGGGGCTGGAAGGAGCATGGAGGGACATTGGTGATGTCAGCAATGTTCTTTCTTGACTGGGTATTGGCTGTGTTCACTTTGTGAGCATTCATTGAGATGTACAGTTATTTGTAACTTTTCTGTATGCAGATTATATATATCAACAAAAAGCCTATTAAGAAAGAAATAGTAAGAATTTTGATGATTCTGCCTTTTGGTCTTATCTAAGTCTTCCTTTTATTTAACTGGATTATGGGAATGAAAAGTCAGATTTTTATTTAAATATTTTTTTTACAGTAAACATTTGTTTATGAGGTAGCTCTGAATAGTTTAAGACAAATATAAATAAAATGAATATCCATTTCTGTCTCTTTCAGTGTCCACTTCTCCCTTCCTAGTTCTAATACTTTATTGGAATATCTGCTGGTATAAACAGTTTTTAAACTATATTCTCTAGGCGAATCTTTGAGCCTTAACAAACTTCTGTGATGTCATTGTTGAGCGTGGACTTGGAAATTAGTTCAACAAAAGCTTTGTGTCTAGTATAGTGTCTGCAAATGTTGAATTTTTCCTTATGGTTCAGGAAGAACTGTTTATAAATGTACTATATTGAGCAGTTAGATGTTTAAGTGGGCTTCACTGTGCTGTGTAATTTGCTTATTCCTATTTTTGAGTTTATACATTTGAAATTCTTTTTGTGGTATTTGGAACCATTGGTTTATTTTCCTAAACCCAGTAACAAAAATACTCATCATTTGGACTTAAAATTTTTCTTTAAAACTTTTTGATTCTTACACATAATCAAAAATTTAAAACTTAAGCTTTAAAAAAATTGAAGCAATTAAATTTAAAAAAACACAGTACAAGAACAGTTATTTTATTGAAATTATCCAACCTTCCGAATTAAGTTTCACATTTAGGTAAACTATAAATGTTTCCAGCATACCAATGCTTTTAGGCTGAATATTTTTATCTTGTTGAGTTCCAAGTAAATCAAATCTAAGGTCATTCTTTTAAGTCCGTGCTTTTCTTTCTCTGTGGAAAGTCCTTACCTTTTATAAAACATTTTTTGGGAAAATAAAGGATAAGTGCTCATTGATTGGTTATAAGCCAATTAATGTGCATCATTGTCTTATTCATCAATGATTAGTAGATTCCTTATCTTTGCTGATAATTCCTAAAATTTTAGCCATTGGAGGAATTTGTGTAACAACAGAACATGAACCTAACAGGATAGATATTATTTTAACTCTTTTCTCTTAGTTACATATCAGAAACCTAGTTTGATTCCATTTGTACTAGTGCTGTGAAAGGAAAATTTCAAGTCTAGGTTAGCAATTATTCAAGAGAATGTTTATAATAGGTGGGTATAGGACCAGCTCAAGAAAGACCTATGGCTAGAGTAAAAATATAAGCCTTTTGGGAAGTTTTTAGATTTTAAAAATAAGTCTATTCCAGTTTCAAACAGTTTGGGGGTAAAAAAAATTGGGGGGAACAGCTCTCTTTACACTTATAGACAGGGCATAGAATTCCTCACTTCTTGAGCCTTCAGAGACCCTTGATCCTAAAACAAGCAGATTTTCTTCTTTATAAAATGAGTCTATATGAGAGAGGGATCGTGTATTGGTGACTGGGAGGGGGATTGCACTTCCTGATTGAAATGTTTTTGTCTGTGTTGCATTAGAAAGGAGCCTGTGATACTGGTCCTGTCAGCCAAGTGGATTTGAGTTGTGCATGCGGTTTTGTTTTGTTTTGTTTCTCTCCTTGAATTAATTCTTAAATCAGTTGGTGGTATACTTGAATTTCTAAGAAATAGTGGAAACAGTTTGAAGAGTGTTTTCTAAGAGGGATTAAGAGTGCTCGAAGAGTTAATTAAATCTGGCAAAAGTGTCCCTGTTTATGAAAGTTTGTCACAGGCCCATGGAAGTGAAAATGGAGAGTGATTTATATTGGAGTGTTCAGTTAAGGAGTGTTTCTAAATGAAACCTTGGCTGTGTGCCATGGATAACAGAATCATTCTATTAGAGATACTTGTGTGGTTTGGAGACCCGGACTCAAAGGGAAAGTGGCTTTGGGAGCAGCTGCTGAGAGTTTCCCATACTAAGTTTTGCTTTTTGTTGACTCTGTGCAATTTATTAAGGTGTTTCTTTATGAATCAGTCCATGGGTTGTGTCCATGACAATGGACATGAGAGTTTCTCTGAGGCCTTTCTTGAAACTGATCACTTGTTCTGGGTGGTACACTGTTTGCTTATCTCATATGTAGTGCTGCTTTTTGGTGGTGGACGTAGTGGATTGACTTTGTGGCTAAAATGTAGGCCAAAGGACTTGAAATTGTCTTACCTATGCATGAGGTTAATGTGTATTTTATGAAAGACTCACCACTAATTATTTTTATTAAGACAAGTATTACTGTCAAAATACAATAGCTTTAACTCACTTTATCTCTTTACCTTTATTCCATGCTACTTAATAGAAATGCTACTTACTTGTGGCACATTATTCAAATACCTAATATTTACATTTTTATTGCATACACCATACTGGGTGGTGATGGATGCTATTTTAACCTCGTTCTGAAAAATTGAATAATTTTATTGACATAATCATTTAGGTTGTATGATGTGCAAATCTTATTTTTTATTTTTCTTTTCTAGGTTCAAAGCAGTGGCACATGATTGGTCACCTCCAGCCAGAAACCTCCTATGATATTAAAATGCAATGCTTTAATGAAGGAGGAGAGAGTGAGTTTAGCAATGTGATGATCTGTGAGACTAAAGGTAGGAGAGGGGTGAGAATTTGTGCTTTCTCCCTGGGCAGTATACAGATTCCGAACTCTGGATGATTCCTTCAGATTGTTGATATATTTCCCTAAGGGAATTTCTGCTTTGCTCCATTTTCTAGGTGCTGACATTTAGACTATCCCAACATAAATATAATATGTTGGTTAGAGAACTTGTCTAAAAAACATCTACATAAGCATTAATTCTGCTTATTAATTTCTGTGTAACTCTGGATAAATTAATTCCCTTCTCTTTTAATCCATGCAGAGAATAGAGATTTTCTAACTGCTTTCTGAGATTTCTGTGAGAATTAGAATTCTAACAAAACTATAGATATTAAGAAAAAGTGCTACGTATGTATTTAGTCAGTTTTCTGTTACTATAATGAAATACTTGAGGCTGGGTACTTTATAAAGAGAAGAGGTTTACTTCTGGAGAGTAAAGGATGTGGCGTTGGCATTAGCTCAGCTCTGATGAAAACCTCATCACACATAAAATCACAGTGATAGGAATGTATGCAAGGGAGAGATCACTTGGTGAGACAGAAAGCCAGAATGTCCAGGAAGATGTCAGGCTTGTTTTTTGTTGTTGTTGTTGTTTTTTGTTTTTAGAGAGAGAGAGAATTTTAGTATTTATTTTTTAGTTTTCGACAGACACAACATCTTTGTTTGTATGTGGTGCTGAGCATTGAACCCGGGCCGCACGCATGCCAGGTGGGCGCGCTACTGCTTGAGCCACATCCCCAGCCTGATGTCATGTTTGTTTTAACAACCCTTTTATGAGAACTAACTCTAGTCCATAAGACTATCACTTTCTCCCTAGGGCACTCCCCCCGTGAATATCCACTAGGCTCTACCTCTTAAAATTGCCGCCACCTCCTAACACGGTCACACTGGGAACCAAGCTTCTAACACATGAACTCTTAGGGAAACACGTTTAAATAGCAGTAAGTTTAAAGCAGTTGCTTGATTGACATATATGTACACAATACACACACAAAAAAAAATTTTTAAATTATATATAGATTTTAAGTTGAGAATAAATAACCACCAATTCTAAATTGACATTCTCCACCTACTGACTGAAAATGTTATCAGCTTTAAAACAGAAGATATAGTATGTGTATAATCGAAACAGCTAATGTGGATATTTATAAAGCAATATCGTTCCATCTAGTCCCAATTAATCTTCATACCCACTTGGCAACTGTAAGTAACAAAATCCTCACCAAGTAGGCTTCAGCACTGAGGATGTGTGTTAGCCCAGATAAGAGGTCTGGAGGTAGGTAACTAACATCAAGTTGTTTACTTCAAAGTTCATTGGTTTCTGTCTTTCCACTTGCCATCCTCTGGTTGTCCCTGTAACCCTGTGTCTAGCATCACTCTGCTTGCCACACTTCTGGCCTTCACACCTAGGTATTGTGATGTCTGATAATGCCTGTTTTTAAGACCAAGAAAATTTCCCCCCAAAGTCCAATAACCCCACAGGCCTTATTGGCCAGATCTCAATCACATGCCACCCCCAAGCCAAATCATCAAGATTATTTGCTGGATTTGCCCCAGAATTAGGTGGGGTTTGGGTGGACACCTAAACACACTCCAGGCTCTGCTAACATAAAAGGAAAAGGCTGTTTACTGGACCGGGCAGCCATTAATACCTGCAACAGGTGTTTCTCTTATCCCTATTTAAAAATGAGGATATGAGAAAATAAATTAAAAAACAAAATGAGGAAGTGGTTTAAAAGATTGAATTACAAAGTCAATGCTTATTTCCATCTTTTAAGTTCTAAATCAAGTGTCTTTCTGCTGCAAAAGTGTTATATTAAATTCACAAACAATATATACACATACATACACATACACACACACACACACACCACACACATAGACCTTACTTTGAATTTCATTTGGTTAGTATATATTTGAGTGCCTATTTGAATCCAGATACTGATGTATTCATGAGCCTTTCTTACTTGCCTCTAGAGTGCTGTAATACTCAATAAAGTGAAATAAAAATGAAATGTATCATCTCTTTCACCAACACATTTAAGAATCTTGCCAAACAAAGCAGAACAACACTAGGTTATGGGTGTAACTCAGTGACAGCGTACTTGCCTAGCATGCATGAGGCCCTGGGTTCAATCCCCAGCACCACAAAAAAAGGAAGGAAGGAAGGAAGGAACTGAGATAATGTTATAGAAGTGTGTTTAAATTTATGTAGCTCATTATCTGACTTTGCTATCGAACAAAAGATTATACCTGTAGACTTTCAGATAGTGAAAAAACCTCTTTGAAATGTGAACTGTTCGTATTGAATGACTTTCTAAAACGGATCACACAATTCCTAGCCTTTTTAGATAGAAGATAGGATATATGATTTACTCTTTTAAAAAACATGGGTCCTGGGTCTCCTTGTGAACAATGATTGTTTTATCTTAAGGAATTCAAAAACGTTCCAGGATGGTGGAGGTATTACAGGACAGCCCTTTCCCTTCTCATTACAGAGCAGAGACTGCCATGATTTTTCCTTTAGTTTCTTATTTTAACCCCGTGTTTGTAACCCCACATTTCTCACCTCAGGCTCTTAGCCCTCTGTTCTTATTGCTATTGGTGTGTCTGTCACACTCATCCCCAGCACAAGTCAATAATCTTCAGCCTTTGGTTTTAGAAAAAGATTGGAAAGCAGATGATCAAGCTTTTTAGAAATGCAGATAAATTAAAAATAAATTTGATGGCTTCCTTATGAAAAATCATATCTTTAATGTGTTATAAGAAATATCTGTTTTTGCCTTAGAAATTCATTTTCTCTAGGGTTGGCAAGGACCTTAGGATTGTACAATCTCACATACCACCTGAAGTATAAATTGCTTCTGGATTCTCTGCTAAATTTTCATTCAACTTCCAAAAAAGGAGAGCTCCTTCCTTCAAGAAATGGGCTCTTCTTTCCTTATTTATTCCCAGCTCTGTTCTATGTGGCTGATATTGCTTGAAAGTAGAACCCTAGTTTAATTTTGTTTATTGAGTAGCTTTTCCAAAGCCTACTTAGCTCCTATGACTTGCCCGAAGTCCTAACAGGAAATACAGTATAACTAATAATAATAGCAAAATTGCTCACACCATGTGCCAGGCTTGAAGTGTTTTCTATGGATTAACACATTTACTCTTTTTTTTCACTTTATTTTTTATTAATTTTTTTATTTATATATGACAGTATATAATATTATAATTCTTTTTTTTAAAAGAGAGAGAGAAGGGGGGAGAGAGAGAGAGAGAATATTTTTTAATATTTATTTTTCAGTTTTCGGTGGACACAACATCTTTATTTTATTTTATGTGGTGCTGAGGATTGAACCCAGCGTGCCCCGTGCATGCCAGGCAAGCGCGTTACCTCTTGAGCCACATCCCTAGCCCTATAATTCTTATTACACATATAGAGCACAATTTTTCATATCTCTGGTTGTATACAAAGTATATTCACACCAATTCATGTGTTTATACATGTACCTTGGATAATTATGTCCATCACATTCCACCATCATTTCTAACCTCATGCCCCCTCTCTTCCCCTCCCACCCCTCTGCCCTATTTAGAGTTCGTCTATCCCTCCCATGCTCCCCCTTCCTATTCCACTATGAGTAAGCCTCCTTATATCAGAGAAAACATTTGGCGTTTGTTTTTTTTTGGGATTGGCTAACTTCACTTTAGCATTATGTTCTCCAACTCCACCCATTTACCTGCAAATGCCATGATTTTTTTCTCTTTTATTGCCGAGTAAAATTCCATTGTGTATATATGCCACATTTTTTAATCCATTCATCTATTGAAGGGCATCTAGGTTGGCTCCACAGTTTAGCTCTTGTGAATTGTGCTGCTATAAACATTGATGTGGCTGTGTCCCTGTAGTATGCTTTTTGTGCTGCTACAACAAAATACCACAGACTGGGTAATTTGCATATAATAGTTGACCAGGCTTATGGTAGTGGAGGCTGGCAAGTCCAGGTGCTCCGCACCAGTATTGGCCAAGGCTTCTGTGCTGTGTCATAACATGATCGGGGGGCAAGTAGGCAAGACAGAAGGAGGGTCCAAGCTTCAGATAAATGCACTCTCAAGATGTCCAACCCACTCCCGTAATGATGGCATTAATCCATGAATGAGGGCTGAGCCCTCCTGACCTAAGTATCCTTTAAAGACCTTACCTCCTTTTTTTTTGTACCAGAGATTGGATTGAACCCAGGGACACTCAACCACTGAGCCACATACCCAGACCTTTATATTTTTTCTTTCTTTCTTTCTTTCTTTTTTTTTTTTTTCAAACATTTTCTCAGTTGTTGACAGACCTTTACTTTACTCATTTTTATGTGGTGCTGAGACTCAACTCTTAACTGTCAGCCAAAATAAGTGGAGCATCAAATGTGCCTCACACATGTCGGGCAAGCACGCTTCCACTCAGCCCCAGCCCCTGCCCCTTGTATTTTTTATTTTGAGACAGGGTTTCACTAAGTTGCTGAGACTGGCTTTGAACTTGGAGTACTCCTGCTTCGGCCTCCTGAGCCACTGGGATTACAGGTGTGCCCTACCATGCCTGGCAAGGCCCTGCCTCTTAATACTCCACAGTGGCAACTAAATTTCAACATGGGTTTTGGAGGCGACATTCAGACCATAGTACTCTTTGCTACAACCTTATGATAGAGCTTTTATCATTGTTTTTCCCAGTTGCAGAAACTTGGATCATAGAGGTACATGTCCTTCAGCTAGTGACAGATGGTGGAGCCAAGATGTGAACCTCAGTGGTGTAGTTTCAGAGCCAGGCTGTCAAACCCTATGCTCCACTGCTTTTCTGTCATTTAGAGCATTAAGAACACATGATTTGGAAATGGAGAGATCAGGTTTAGTCCCACCTGTTGTTAGCTTTTGTTATCACTGTTACCCAGAATACTAATGAGTTAGGTAAAAGTACTGCATTTGTGTGGGCCCCAAAATCTTTGTTTTGAGGATGTTTAATATTATGTGTCAAGTTTTTGGAATTAGATTTAGTAGTTCTAATAGTTCCAAGTCATATTTTCTAATATTGTTAGTTATTTTTAAACACATGATAAAAGTATAAAATATATAATTCTGAGTCTTATTCAGCACAAAGTATATCAAATAGAAAGGAGTTTGTGTTCCATCTTTAAGCTGAAGTACTTTTATTTCAACTCCTTGGAAGTCTTGTACAAGCATAATTAAACAGATAATCATATAGCAATTTGGGTTAGACCAAGTGTGTATTTTTCTGCTCTTATGATTTCTCTAAAATTTGAGACCTAGAAACTTTGGCACATTGATTTTTAAGCTCTGGAGCCCTCTTTGTGATTCATTGTTGGTCAGATCATCTCCATAAGGAGAGTAAACAGACTGGCTTGCTTTCCTAACCAGACCTCCTCAGAGAGTAAACCATTTCATTGACTGTATTTGCTCTGACATCATGTTTTCTTTCATATTTCAACTAGTGAGACGTGTCCCTGGAGCTTCTGAGTATCCTGTCAAAGACCTGAGTACTCCTCCAAATTCTTCAGGAAGTGGAGGAAATGCTGGGCCTGCAACCAGCCCTGCCAGAAGCAGTGATATGTTATACCTCATTGTTGGCTGTGTGCTTGGTGTCATGGTCCTCATTCTTATGGTTTTCATTGCAATGTGCCTATGGAAGAGTCGCCAACAGAATGCCATACAGAGTAAGTCATTTATAAGTATTTTCTTCTGTTTTTCTAAAGATGGGTAGAAAAAATATTATCAGAGTAAATATTGATTCCTACCACTTTTGTGTGTTGGTATGGTATGAAACCTGTTAGAGCCTCTTCATTTGGAAGAGGTAACTTATCTTAGCTGTCAGCTAAAATAAGTGGAGCATCAAATTAAATTGCCCAGTAGAAATAAACATCAAGGACCAAACTAAGCAGGTCTCTAAGTAAATAGCTGACTTGGTACTGGAAACTCTGGCTTTGTTGGACCACCAAAGAGGATGAGTACTGTAGGCTTGTGCTCTGGAATTTGTGTCGGAAGACCTTCATGGTGGTGTGGATCAGGTCAGTAGGATAGAAATGGCCTGATGGGGAAAGCAAGGTAGTAGAGACTTTTCTAAATTACCATTACTGAATGATGCTTACCAGGGGAGATAACATGGTCCTGTCTGTGCCTGATATACCCAAATTGTCTGGCATCCTCCCCCCAGGAGTGTGTCTGGTAATAGCTGTGCTTGCAGATTGAGCAGTGGTACTGTTCTCATTAATAACCTATTTTCCTATCTACCAGAAAAAACAGGATAATCAAGCCAAGAGGAAATTTTCAGACTTTGATGGGAGGAAGATTTTTGTTTTCCCCTTTGGCTTTAGAATAAGGAATGAAAGAAAAGTCAGAAGGCAGTAACAGTGGTAGGCACTTCTATTGGCCCTTACCCAAGTTGCTCATATAGACACCTTTTAGTTACTAGCTCAAGAAAAAGAAAAGATCTCTTTTAATTGAATGGTGCCTTCCCAGAGGTAGGCAGGGGGAGAGGTGGCAGTGTCAGCATGAAAGGATTGTGATCATTTAGTCTTTTTTCTAAATGACTTTAATGCCATTACATTTAATTGTGTATATGTTCAATCATTAAGAGAAAAGCAATTAACTTGGTTTTCTGAACAAGATTAATCTGATTAAACTCATTTTCTTTTGTGACCTTACACTAAAAATGGTAGATTATCATGACAGTTGTTCAGTTATCTCATTCCACCAGAAGATACTCATTGACTGTCTTCTATGTGCCAAGAGCTATGCTGGACAGTGGAGTTATAAATAACATAAACATGGTCTTTGCCCTCTCAAAGGTCATGGGCTAGTGGAGAAGATGTTCAGTAGGTGTACTGACAATACACACCTGTGCAAGAAAGCACAGGAATAGGAGAAGCTGTGGAGAGGAGTGCCAGTCTCCACATCTCTAATACCTTTGACAAATTTGTCAAAACCCTGACAGCAAACACTGTACAGTTCAGATACTTTACTGTCTAAGGAATATTTACTTTTTCTAAACTTACTGATAGGCGTGCCTCTATAAATCAGAATTTTTAAAAATACTGTTAATCTAAGGAAGTCAAATAGCCTTCTGCCTTTGGTACCCCACAACTTCCAAATGGCTTACAATGACCCAGAAGTTATATGAACAGTTGGTGAATGCATACACACCACCACCCTTTTTCTTCAAAGTGCTGTTTATTGCTACTTGAAATGTCCTATCTAAAATTAGTCTTTGCTAAGGTAGTTGTTGCTGTTTTACACAATCATTTTCAGCTCTTTGAAGTATCTGAGAATTTAAGCACTTTTGCTTAGTGTTGTCAATATTTTGATAGTTTCAGCTCATTCTCTTGTGAGTGATTTCTTTCTGGTTAATTTATCTTCCCATTAACAGAGTCATGATTAACTCAAAGCTCCTAGCTACTTCCACACTGTAAAGAAAAATAACAGTGGTAACTTTAAATAGGCTTTATAGGAACATTTTTAGAATGTTTTACTTTATAGTCATTTTGTAGTTTCTTAGGGGTTTCACTAATAAAACTTCCTAAGTAATATTGTTCTTTTTAGTATCTGATTCTTTTTTTGTTGTGTTCTTTTTTGACAGAATACGACCCACCAGGATATCTCTACCAAGGGTCAGATATTAATGGGCAGATGGTGGAATTTACCACTGTCTCTGGAGCAAACCGAATAAATGGAAATGTCCATGGTGGCTTCCTGAGCAATGGCAGCCTCAGCAATGGCTGCTCTCACCTCCACCATAAGGTTCCTAACGGAGTCAATGGAATTGTGAATGGGAGCCTAAATGGGGGAATTTACTCTGGGCACACAAACTCTCTAACCAGGACACGGGTGGAGTTTGAACATCCTCGTCATCTACTGAATGTAAGAGACTTAATTATAAATAATAGCCTCTCTGTGCCTCAGGGTATCAAAGTACAAGAATGGGTGCTTGGCTTTTTTCGATTTAAGGAACCTCATAGGGTCACATGAATGGAAATAGTATATTTCACTAGCAGGCCCTTGATCCAGAGTAATCTTTGTCAGTTTTCTACCATCAGGTGATATATTTGTCAGTTGGTTTCTGTTTTTAAATTGTTTAATTCTCCAAGTTCAATACCAGTAAGGAATAGATAGGAAGTTGTTCTTGAGATGAAACGGAAATACCACTGGGCATAGACCAAACCAGATACTTTATATTTGATTTATTTAAAGCAGCCTGAAAACTCAAATACTGAGAGCTCTGGCAGATGGGGAAACTTCAACAAGTTGGGAATGAGATGGTTGCGGAGGAGATAGTAGCAAACTAGAGTACACACTGAGTTAAAGAAGCAACTTCAGTTGAGTGCCTGTTGTCACATAGGGCAGAGGACCCAGTTTGTTAGTTTTTCTGTTTCTTTGAAACATCTATAAATCTAGTTGAAATGATGAGATGTGTATATGTTGGAAACTAATTCCGATTTTTCTTCTTTTTTCTTTGTGGTGCTAGGGATTGAACTCAGGGCCTTGAGCATGCTAGGCAAGCACTCTACCCTAGCCCTAGCTTTTGTAAAGCATTGTGCAGACCATGCAAAACATGTCTCCAGGCCACGAGATTGTGACTTCTGACCTATCATGAGTTTCTTTTGTTTCACTTAGTGTGTTTTGTTGTTCCAACGTGTAAGCTTTGGAATTTTAGAATATTAGTATCCTTTAGTCACAAGGAAGCTTAAAATTCCCTTATTTCAGAGATTGCCTGACATAGCTTAATTTTTGAAATAGGAATAGAATAAGTAGCATATTTTAGATTTATGCCTCTAAAGGGGATTCTCTGTACTAGAGAGATATTCTTTATTTCTTTGTCTAGATAGGCATCCACATTATTTTAATCAAACAGATAACTTATTTAGTTGATCAAATTAAGTGTTCATTTTATTTTTTTTCATTGTTCTGATTAAAGATAAGTTTGCCATAATCCATGATGGACTATAATTTGAACAAATTTGGAGTTTTTTGTTTTTAATGAATTTATTAAGATATTACCTTTGCAGAACAAATCTATAATATATATGTGTCTTAAAGCTAGAAACCTGTGGCTTTTATGTTACCCCACTTTTGCATGTTGTAGAAAAAAATATCCTATTTACTTTAGTGCATCTCATTACTAAAGAGAATAATGATTTCATTATTTTCTGGGGAAAGATATGGCTTATATTCAGACTAGCTAAACTTTTTTTGTCACCATTCCTAGTCTAAACTACTAACATTGTCCAAGAAATCTGGAGGAGAGAGCATTGCAGTTTGAATAACACATGCTGTTTCTATGAGAAGGAAAAATAAGGCTGATATTTGTTTTAGTGTTTGAACAGGGGGCTTTGGATTTTCTGAACAATGACTTGCTATTTAAATAATAGCTGCCCCATTAGGTTACAATTTTAGAAGTTATCAACTATAATTTTAACCCATTAGTTGTCTTATTCTTCTGGGCAGGAAGAAATAGGGACTTTTTTTTAAATGCCAGGCATCATAAAAATCATTGAATTAACTTTACCATGTTTAGTGATTTGGATAAATGTATTATCCTGAAGGTTATAAACTTCATTTTCTGAACCTTTTGAGTTTGCCCTCAGACTGAAGATAGTGCAGGAATATTCTTTCCCTCAGTATTTTCTTAGTAATTCCTGTTGCTTGTTGGATCAGGATTGCTGAAAGAAATTTTCAGTCTTTTGGTTTGCTTAGATTCTGGCTGTTGTTATGAGACGAATGGAAATGGAAAGTATTCTAGGAAAAACAATTGCCTGAACTTTTCCTAACCTTGAAGGCCTGTGTTGGGTTTGGGTGCAGTGTGACAGCCTCTCCCACCCTTATCAATTTCAGTTCTGCTGTTTTTCATCAGAAAGTAGAATTCTGACTCTGACTCTGACTCTTAAGAGGCCAGTTTGAGTTTTCAGACTTCACGTTTGCCATTGTGCATGTCAAGTGAACATTGTACAATGAGGTATGTGTTAATCTGGGCATTTTTCTTAATTGCTGGGCAGTTTCCGCCAAAAGCAACATCAAAATATTAATACTCCCCTCCAGGTCATTGCTGGCTGAGAATCTACTCCATCTGGAAAAATATGACATGTTTTAAAACAGTATAGTCAAGTGAACAGGCCTAATAGAAATAATTACAGGAAAATGAAGATGGGTTGTCTTGTGACATCATTCAAACACACTTTGCACCCTGTTTCTTCAACTGGCATCTCATATAATTTTTCCATGACTGCTAGAAAAGGAAAAATGAATAAGAGGTTATGATGTGTAGTGTATTTTGGGCCCATTAGATTTGAGACACTAAAAGGAAGTGACTAACTTTCTCCCTTCACTTATTTGCCTTTTTCCAGTACAGAAATATATGGAAAAACACAGCAGTTAAGTTTTTGGAGTCCAGTTTAATATTGTGCAGATCTCATTTGAGAATAATAAATAACAAGCATAACATCATTTAGCAAGCACATTAAAAATATCATGTATCCATTTATGATTGACATGGCTTTTGTATTTGTGAGTATTTGGCTACTAGTCTATGGCACCTTCAGCATTTTCTTCTTTTCTTTTTCCTTGAACTTCCTTCCTGATAAGGGTGGTGGAATGTACACAGCAGTCCCCCAGGTTGACCCTCTGGAGTGCATTAACTGTCGGAATTGTCGAAACAACAATAGGTATGTTAATATGTATTTGCACAAATTGTTGTAAGTAAGGGATATGTGTTCTTTATTTTTTTCCTTCAGCAAAGGAAATTCTTGAAATTTAACATAAGGTGGAAAACTCAGAATTTGCCATCTCAAGTTTAAGGCTGCTATTAAGTTTTTGCACTGCTTTATAATTTTTAATCTTTCTGTGCCTCAGTTTCTTTAGACATATATTAATAATATTAAAGCCTTTGTTTCTAGTGGTAATATTATTAAAATGTTTGATGTTTTTGAAAAATTTTAATTGGAGTCATTCTCTGTATTTAGTGTTTATTGTTTCTTTTTTTTATTGGTTGTTCAAAACATTACAAAGCTCTTGACATATCATATTTCACACTTTGATTCAAGTGGGTTATGAACTCCCGATTTTTACCCCATATACAGATTGCAGAATCACATCGGTTACACATCCACTTTTTTACATAATGCCATATTAGTAACTGTTGTATTCTGCTACCTTTCCTATCCTCTACTATCCCCCCTCCCCTCCCCTCCCATCTTCTCTCTCTACCCCATCTGCTGTAATATAATTCTCTCCCTTGTTTTTTTTCCCTTTCCCCTCACAACCTCTTATATGTAATTTTGTATAACAATGAGGGTCTCCTTCCATTTCTATGCAATTTCCCTTTTCTCTCCCTTTTCCTCCCACCTCATGTCTCTGTTCAACGATAATCTTTTCCTCCTGCTCTTCCTTCCTGCTCTGTTCTTAGTTGCCCTCCTTATATCAAAGAAGACATTTGGCATTTGTTCTTTAGGGATTGGCTAGCTTCACTTAGCATAATCTGCTCTAATGCCATCCATTTCCCTGCAAATTCCATGGTTTTGTCATTTTTTAGTGCTGCGTAATACTCCATTGTATATAAATGCCACATTTTTTTTAATCCATTCATCTATTGAAGGGCATTTGGGTTGGTTCCACAGTCTAGCTATTGTGAATTGTGCTGCTATGAACATCAATGTGGCAGTATCCCTGTAGTACGCTCTTTTAAGGTCTTCAGGGAATAGTCTGAGAAGGGCAATAGCTGGGTCAAATGGTGGTTCCATTCCCAGCTTTCCCAGGAATCTCCATACTGCTTTCCAAATTGGCCGCACCAATTTGCAGTCCCGCCAGCAATGTACAAGAGTACCCCTTTCCCCACATCCTCGCCAGCACTTGTTGTTGTTTGACTTCATAATGGCTGCCAATCTTACTGGAGTGAGATGGTATCTTAGGGTGGTTTTGATTTGCATTTCTCTGACTGCTAGAGATGGTGAGCATTTTTTCATGTACTTGTTGATTGATTGTATGTCCTCCTCTGAGAAGTGTCTGTTCAGGTCTTTGGCCCATTTGTTGACTGGATTATTTGTTATCTTATTGTTTAATTTTTTGAGTTCTTTGTATACTCTGGATATTAGGGCTCTATCTGAAGTGTGAGGAGTAAAAATTTGTTCCCATTTACCTCTCTTATTGTTTCTCTTGCTGAGAAAAAACTTTTTAGTTTGAGTAAGTCCCATTTGTTGATTCTAATTATTAACTCTTGTGCTATGGGCGTCCTGTTAAAGAATTTGGAGCCCGACCCCACAATATGTAGATCGGAGCCAACTTTTTCTTCTATCAGGCGCAGAGTCTCTGATTTGATATCAAGCTCTTTGATCCATTTTGAGTTAACTTTTGTGCATGGCGAGAGAAAGGGATTCAGTTTCATTTTGTTGTATATGGATTTCCAGTTTTCCCAGCACCATTTGTTGAAGATGCTATCCTTCCTCCATTGCATGCTTTTAGCCCCTTTATCAAATATAAGAAAGTTGTAGTTTTGTGGATTGGTCTCTGTGTCCTCTATTCTGTACCATTGGTCCACCCGCCTGTTTTGGTACCAGTACCATGCTGTTTTTGTTACTATTGCTCTGTAATATAGTTTGAAATCTGGTATCGCTATACCGCCTGATTCACACTTCCTGCTTAGAATTGTTTTTGCTATTCTGGGTATTTTGTTTTTCCATATGAATTTCATGATTGCTTTATCTATTTCTACAAGAAATGCCGTTGGGATTTTGATTGGCATTGCATTAAACCTATAGAGAACTTTGGGTAATATCACCATTTTGATGATGTTAGTTCTTCGTATCCATGGACAGGGTATATTTTTCCGTCTTCTAAGGTCTTCTTCTATTTCTCTCTTTAGGGTTCTGTAGTTTTCATTATATAAATCTTTCACCTCTTTTGTTAGGTTGATTCCCAAGTTTTTTTTTGTTTGTTTGTTTGTTTTTTTTGAGGATATTGTGAATGGGGTGGTTGTCCTCATTTCCCTTTCAGAAGATTTGTCACTGATATACTGTTTATTGTTTCTTATCTTGTTACTTTCCACTCTGTAGTACGGGATATTATGAGGGTAAATGAGAGCATGTTTGAATGTAATAGAGGGAAAAAAACACCTTATATATAGTAATTTTTTCCATAGTAATATTACTAAAAAATTTCCTACTGAATGATTCAACATTTTTTAAAATCCTCAAATCTTTATATAATTAAATAGCAAAATCTTGTTTTTGTTTTAATTTTTCATTTAAAAAGTGATATATATTCATAATATTTCAAACTAGATAAAATTGCACAGAGTAAAATGTGTATTTAAATTTTGACAAGTAGACTATCAGAAAGAGTTCATGCTACTTCTCCATATGTTAATTCCAAAGGAACATCAAAGTTCTTGTATTAACATTACATTAGAAATTTTAGTCCTTCTGTTTACATAATGATGGTTTGGGGTTATATGGCCTCTAAAGTCCTTCTTGCTTTTAAAGTTCTGCATTTAAAAATTGTATTTAGTACATAAAATAACAAATATGATTTGGAGTTTGGATATTCCATTATCTAAAAAGTATTTGATGTGCATTTTTTTTTTTTTTTTTTTTTTTACGTGTATGAAAAGGTTGAGTTCTCACTAGAAGGTGTTGAAACTAGAACTTGAATGATCTGGTCAACCATAGAATTAGAAGTACATTGTTTTAGCCTGTGTTTTGAGAGTCACAGAACAAAAGCAGTAAATCTTGGGGACTTTTTGTTATCATTTATTTAACTCATCGTAGTGTTTCTCTATTAGTAAGAGCCATCTGCCTATTTTATATACCAAGAGTTACATGTTACGTATTTAAATTCTTTATCACCCTCATTTTGAAAATGTTCATGCACTGAAGCTGTATTATTCTGAGCTTGTCAGAGTCTTTACCACAATTTGTTAGGAAAACATGCTAACAAACTGGCGAAGCTGGTTTATACACCAGATGGTAAGTAGTCAAATGGATTCATCATAACAAATGGTTTTGTGAAAATATATACTGTGTTGTCCTTTGTAGTTCTTGTGGCCATCATCAGATCTTGACTCTCCCTACACATTAGAATAGCTAACAGGAGGACCTTTGGTCTAAGAATGAGTGGACCGGGTTTTACTCTTACTTAAACTTGTGATCTTGGGGAAAGTTATGTCTCTGGGGCTGTTTTCTTATTAAGAAAACAAAAGCTTGTCCTGAGTAATAAAAGATTGTCCCCAATATGATCTAATTGTAGACTTTGGTAAAACCATATCTTTATGATGAGGTATCATCTTAGCACCAAAAACACTCCATTTCCCATGTCCTTAAAAGGATTTAAGTGACCTCTGCCATCTTGAATTCATGATCATTTGTATATGGAGAGAGAGAGTGAGTGTGTATGTGTGTGTGTGTGTGTGTGTGTGTGTGTAGTATCTGAAAGATTTTATTATGCATGGGTATTTCCTTTAAGACAATGAGGAATTGTATTTCTAGTAATTTTCAAGTTAATGACTTCCTGCATTTCATGTTTGTGAATTTTACTACTGTCTGGGAACTTATTCTCTTCAGCTTGGAAAAACCAGCTTCTGTTTCTCTGTGGTTTAAATATTCTTCTTGCACAAGCACCTGTAGTTGAAGGCAAGTCTTTATTTGTCTGTGTTGCCTCCAAGGCTAGCCAAATGTCTTCCCTGACTCTCAGGAGCCACTGTATGATTTTGACACTTAATAATTGGACAGTTGATAAATATCAATAAGAAACTAACTTTAGGGGGGATGTGGCTCCGTGGCAAAGTGTCTATCTTGCATTTGCAAAGCCCTGGGTTCAACCCCCACTTCCAAAAAGAAAAGAAACTAACTTTAACTGTGGAAATTGAAATAATTACATTTCATGCTTTTAACTTTTACAACTTTGAAGTTGAAAACAGGTATCACCTCTCAAGATCCAACAAAATGGCAAAATTTGTAATAAATTTTGAAGGTAGAGAAGTGTATGATATATGATTTGCATCTAAAATGTGCAAAATTGTACTTAATATACCTTTTTTAGAATATCAATGTTATTAACTAATAAGTTTGCATTTCATAATGCAGACTGAAATAGTGTGTACGTAAGAAGAGGCATTATTTCAGTAAGAATACATGGCACTGTAGAATTTTTGGCTACTTAGTCAAGAAAATACTGAGCACTAGCCAGGCACTGGACTAGGTTTTGAACTGTTCCTATGTAGAAGGAATTTGCAGAGTAGCCATGGAAGTGGGAAGGATACTGCTTACCTAAGAATAAATAGATTACATGCTGTACATTAGAACCACTTGAAGCACTGCTAAGTATACAAATTGCTAGGCTCTACTTCTAGAGTTTCTGGTTCAGCAAACCTTAGGTAGGGCCTGAGAATTTGTATTTTTAGTGAGTTTCCAAGGAATACTGATGCTGGTATATAGTAATTTTTTCCTGGCACCATGCTTTGAGAGCCACTAGAATAGTGTTACTGGCTGATGAAATGCAAGTAGAAAGTAAGTGGCAGGATATAAAACAGGAAAATTGGACTGAGTTTATATCACAGGTGATCCTGAAAGTCAGGGTTTTGTAGTCTAAACATTTATTGAGTGCCTATCATGAACTTGGTACTACTACCTTCGGAGACCCACAGTCTGATAGTAGTGATTCTCAGACAGAGCTA